AGCCACACCACAATACCACACATACGAGCACGTTGCTGAAATTCTATTCTACTTCCAGTAATTTAAACGATTTGTGGTTGCCGCAACCAATAGGACGTTTGTCGACCTGATTTAAGGCCAATAATTTGCATATTTTGGTTTGGTTTCCACGTTTTTTGTAGTAAAATTCCTTCTCCCTGCTCCATTCAGACGGGCTATTTTTTAGTGTACGTGGGCTTTTTTAGATTAAGTCACAACATTCCTACATGACAGCAACCGGAATTCGCATACAACCCGATTGGGACAAGGCGGTTTCGTACGTTAATCTGCCTTAGATTTAGAATTTGAAATTTTGTAAAAATTTACGACTTTTTGTGAAAACTCTTATTTTATTCGTGTGATACGCATCTGGGTGACTTTTGTGTGCATCCCAAAATGAGATCGCACTTGGTAAATGGTAACCACGTAAGGCTGACGAATCTAGCTTTTGAAACATCTAAACACTATTTGTGTTAATTTCTAAAAATGCCTGTTTTATTTAAGCTGTCATTCCTCTTAAATTTGAAAATGTTTATCTGCGAATTTGTGCTCCTTGACCAGATTTGTTACGTTGAGTTGTTTTGGATCTTTCTGTGTGCTCGGTTACGTTTTAATTAGCTTGCTTTTAAGCAGAGCTGATCGCTTCATCATACGACTCCTGTTAATCTGTTTATTTTTCACCTTAGTGGTGACTTACAGTAGACCTCGTGCTCTGTTTTCCTCGTCCTAATTTAAGTCCTCCATCTTGTAGGGAAAAAGACAAGAGCTTTTGGTTCCACCTATACGAGCCGGATCGCAGTCGCTACCAAAAGGTAGAACTCAGCGGAGACACCTTCACTCCCGACGTGGACGATGTGGAGTGCCGAGTTGTCTCGTCGGTAGATTTTTTGTAGTTTTATGTCTTCTTAGAAAATGGTCTGCTTCAGAGATAAGACCCGACTGCTTCAATCTACCTTCCAATGTCCGGATGTCAGATTTACAAATATTTACAAACAGGCGCGCGAGGTACGCAAAATTACGTAAAGTCTTTCAGATGTTTTTAAGTATTTTTTGTGACTTTCTGCTGTTGCTTTTATCCCCAGGTGTTGGCCTCGCATTACGTAAAACTGATCAATCACTTACTACGTTTTAGCCAAGACTTCATGTGAATTCATTCGATGTGAACGCAAGTGGCGAACTCGCGGTGTCCGCGGCCAGTGACGCGAGCGTGTTGTTGTGGGAAACAAAAACTGGTCAAATCCGGGTACGAAAATGCCCTTTTTCCCACTGTACTTGTTTTTTTTTGCTCTTTGGTCATGTGTTTCTTAAATGAAGCGCGATTTTTCTCGGTGAATCAAGGTTGCCACTGAATTTTTTTGAATAATAGAGTTGTTCACTCTTCGAAATCAAAAGACAAATGTCACTTTAAAGGTTGTATCTCCTCATCTGTGGTTGAGGCGAGTTATCTTCAATGCCTTCATCTTTCGTCGCTTGAAAATAGTTACAGCGACCTGTTGTGTATACGTGTGACCCCTAATTATACCGTATTCATCTCGGAAACCAACATGATTGATATTTCTTGCATAAACTGAAAACGTTTGTGTCGTCCACATTCGTTCAAGAGAGTTTTGTGTTATTTTCAAGTCGCCAACAGTCCCCCTTGATTTTACTGATTTGGATGGAACCAAGTACCTAACACAAATACACTTTTGAGTTCGTATTCAAGACTACGTGCTAGGTAATGAAGTTGCGGCTTTAAAAACCTGAAATAAATACAAGTCGGCATTTTGTTGCCGAAGTTCAGGAAGCATTTCGGCGTCATTTTCGTCTAAATTTTAACAGTTTTTGCATAACTTTATTTATTTTCTTACTGAATCAAATCGGTGCATCTTTCGTAGCTGATCTGCATTAAAATTCATAACAGCTAATAGTAAAGTTCTAAAGGAGTATCTGCGCATTTTGCGCTTATACTCTATTCTAATTGGCACAAGCTGCCGTTGCTCTTTGATTAAATGATGTTTTGCTCACTTATAATGGTCGTGCCTTAAAAGAATGTAATTTGAAGTCAACGCGAAATAACCCTGAGGAAATTTACTCCTATCATGACCCCTTTTCTCCACTTTTCTTCAAGCGCACATTCAGCGGTCACGCAAGCGAAGTCTACTGTAGCAAGTTTTTCCCCTCGGGATTGGTTGTTCTCACTGGCGGCAGTGACATGCAGTTGAAGATTTGGTGCGTGGTTTCAGGACAGTGCGCGGCGACCCTGCGACCGGGTCTGGGTGCGGCCGACTCCACCGGCTCCGCAGCCGAACCGGGCGGCCACCGCTCGGGCATCGTCGATGTCGATTTTATTGACCGCGGGAAAAACATCGTCGCCATCGATCGCGGTGGCTGGCTACGGCTTTGGGATGTGTCAACGCAGGTCAGCCATTCTATAGTAATTGCGTCCTTTTAGTCTTTATTCAATGACAAACAAATAAATAACCGTCATTTCCGTCATGTTATGCTATTTGAGTATGAATGAGGAGTGTTAATTTTGACCGTGCCTCTAATCGTAAGACACTCAAAGGTGCTATAGTCGATTTTGAAATGGTGACTTCAATTTGAGCCATAAAATTCGCTCTGGGCGACTTCCCAGCATTGACAATGGCTTTATCCGTGATTCAGTAAGTAATAATCTATGGATTACCACTTGAGATTTCTGAGTTGAAATGCTGACAAATTGGCTGCCTTTAACTTTTAAAAGCAAATTTAATGCTCACGTTCCTCTAGTGCTGTTTTTTAATTCCTAGTTATGCACCTTGCGCTGAATGTATTCATAATCAGGCACTTAAATCAAGTTTGTTTTTAAAGTCGTTTTAGTGCACTGTTTTTTTGACTGGCACTAAAAACATGTTTAAGCCTTTGACCATACCTTAACTAAAATCATTGACATTTTAATAGCATATAAGTAAGTCCTGAGTGTCATACAATTACTTCTGCTTATAGCACTTTGGGTACACAGAAGGCCTGAATTTTCCCAAAACCTTCATTCATTTGCTCTATCATTTTGAGGATATCTAAGTTGAAAATTCGTCTTATCACATACCTTGCACGCTTTTTTTACAATTATCATAGCACAATTGATATGCTTACACGCCTCACAAATGTATCTGTTACCTTGTGTCATGTGACTCTTAGAGAAATACTCGTTTTAACTAGAAGGTTAGACATAAATACCATGCATTTTCGACAAAAATTGACAAAACCAAACCAAAGTAATGGCGATTTGAAGGTATGGTGGCGCGACTAAGTGTGTGTTTGAAGCGAAGCGCCATGAAACGGCTGTTCTTGTCTCACTTGGTGCGAGGTGTTCTCATAGTGTCTACGGCCTAAGCTTCCCTCAATGCTGACAATTGCCAGTTGCAATTATTTTAGGTGGCTATCTCGGCTATGTCTGTTGTCCCCAAGTCACGTGGTGTAACCTCTTACGCCAACTGTTCAGCGGATGACAGCCCCCATTGTTGTGCCGTGAAAAGCCGTACTTGGGATCCCACCAGCCTCGCCCAAGCTACGGCCCAGGAAGAATCCTGTGGACAGTTCTGCAGTGGGTAGTTGATTGTTTGACCGCTTTTTTGCTTCGTAATGCAGGAACCTAATCAACTATTAACGGTGAAACCTGCCTTTGACGGTCCACCCTTCAATTTTGCCAACTTACTTCACTAGACGTCTGTGTACTAGTCATCAGTCGATTGCTGGTCTTGACTGGAAATTTTATTCCTTAGTGGCTCTGTGGAACGCAGTTCAATTAGGTGCTTAGTTTCTGTGTAATTCCTTTTTTTTTAAAAAAACTGGTACGGCGTAGAATAACTTGCATCATTGTGGTGTACTTAGCGATCGTGGACATCGGAAAGACGGTGAGTCGGCCAAACTTGGCGTCACTAGCACATCTGATTTCTGCAAAAGCATTAAACTATTGCATGGCTTTTCCGCCATGCATCTTCCCTAGGCAGACCAAGTTGTTCCCTCAAACAGCATTCCACTGATAGTGACCACAATTTTGTTGCTCTAACTAGCCCTCGAGACGACGTCGGCGAGGGCAACCGCTACCGGCGTAACCGACAAGCTTGTGGCCGTTGGTTCGGGTCGCGATGGTCAACTCCTCATCTACGACATTAGCTCAGCCAGTTCGCGTGGCCGTGGACCCACGCTCCAACTCGCACTCCCCTGTGCCTCGGGCTCTGTTACTGCCTGTGCCTTCTCTCTCGCGCCGCCAGAACAAGCCTGCGGCGGCGTCTCCAGTGAGTTCGCCATCGTCGGTGGAGGTTCGACAGGCGAGATCGCCTGCTGGGATCTCCGACATACTAGGTATTCTACATTGTTGTTGCCTTGTACATGTCAGTATTCGTTTGAAAGGCAACCATCACTTTGTTCTTTTTTTTTCAGTAATCCTCTTCTGACTTACGAGGCTTACAAGTCTGGCGTTTGCGGTTTAAAGATGCTCAACTTTCCCTCTCACTCGGTTGACGTTAACGGAAGCACCAAAATTTCAGTACCTGCTTGCACCGGATTATTTGCTTCATTTCGTAAGTCTGTAGAATCGGTTCCCTGACAGCCGTCTCGTGCCTTACACGACTATGTGTTATTACGCCCAATAAGTCAATTCTTCAGAAGCAGGACGAACCTTTTTAATACTGGTTGTTTTTAGGGTGTATTTGCATCGTAACTACTTCCAGCCGACTTTGTATAGTCTTTAAATCCACGATTTTTAACTATTCACCAATTACAGCTTGGATCGAGTTCAAGCATTACTTGGACACAAGAATTCATCGAGTTGATATCGTTTGTGCGGTCACATCTTGCAGCCATGTGGGTCTTCAAATGTTACCTTAAATTAACAAATACCAATAGTATAGCGAAACGCCAAATTCAAATTACAATAAACGCATCCTGTCGCCCTTAACATTTGTATATCTCAAATAATTGTAATGGTCTATGAGTTTTAAGCGTTGAATTAGACTGCTCTAGTTTGGGCTCAGCATGTTGAATCTTCCCCTACTTTGTAGGAGACGGCCGCGTTACTGTTCGTCAATTGGCTAAAGAGAGTTCACCACTACAGAATGATTACGCCAAATTGCTTGAGCTCACAGGTCCAGACGTCGATGTAATTCGTGGTCTGTGCGTGTTACCGACAGACCGTCCTTCCGGAACCTCTTCGGTGTGGACGGGTACCCACGGTGGACACTTTTTCCACTACCGTAGAGTCGCAATACATCAATTGTTTGTATGAGACAGCAATTTATTTACATGTTCGTTCCCCCAATTTGCCATTACTCTTCTCAAGATTCCCTGTACTTATTGTATGATTTTTTGATCAAATGTTTGTTACCTCCCGAATTCCTTTTTTGTGGTTTTAAGCTTCTATGCAGACCTGATTTATCATTGAGGGATTTCTGCCACAACGCAGCTTCCCAGAATGTCCCTACGAATCCCACTTATTTGCGTTTCAATCTACGAAGTCAATGATTTCCTAATAACCGCACCTGATGAGTATGTGGGTCATCTCCATGGCTTAATTCGTCTAAGTAACGAGTGAATTTAAGTTCGGGTTGGGATGCCATTGTCTAAATAGGTACCTTTTAAATCTTAAAAAGGCTGGATTTTGTAAATTCAAGTCGTGTTCATAGTGCCAGTAAACAGTGCTTGAATTTGATGTAACATTTTCACGTGACGTTTAATAAGGAGTTTCAATGTGGATGATGAAAATTTAAAATATGGAATAAAGTAGTAGATGCTCTGATGGCGTCGCATATAGTTACCTCCAGACATGGAAATTGGTCTAACAGGTTGTGTGGAAGAGGCCAGCAACGAGGTGTCCGTGCTCCACCAAATTGTTGTAGGTTTTCACGGCGGCAGAAGTTGGTTCGACAATCACGACGTGACCACTCTGTTGAAGGCCATTTAGAACATGATGAGGGATGTGGAGCCAGCACATCTTTCCCATACTCAGAACAACAATCTTCGCCCCGGTGTTGTGGAGGTCTAGTACGTCCTCAAGGGCTATGCCCAGTCGGTGGGAAGTTCCTGTTTAAAGAAGCAAATTACTTGAAATTTTAGTCCGATATGAGCGATTCTAATGCCGCTTCACAGATGTCGTAAATTGATTCATTCTTAATTGCATAATGTGTTCGTTGGAAGTCAGTCTTGCCAAATGACACCCAACAGTTGACACACAGTTACGAGCAAAGCTTCCAGTCTAAATCCGCTCGAATTTTCATTTAGCTCGAATCAGACTTTCCAGTTGTCTCCGAACTATTTCGGTAATGCTAATTGACAGTCATTAATCTCCAGGAATTCAGTTTTGTCGTAAACTTGTGCCTTGTACCCCTAATTTTGTGTCCCCTCTTCATAACGGGGCCCATTCGCACTCGTTATTCGGTCTTCGAGTGGAATCCTGGCATTGGACAAACGAGACGTTAGACAAAGCATTTACGAATTTGTTTACTGGACGCGTATTTTGGGTTGCTTTTACTCGCGGATTAAGCTTTTTTTCTAACCTCACGTGGACGTTTCCTAAAATTTTCTTCACGTTTACGCATGCTTATCGCAGGAAAGTCTAATTTTATTCAACTGAATGCACGTATTGTAGTGCTTAGTCTATTCGTCGGATTCAAGCACGTATAAATGGCCAAGTGCTACCAAGTCTTTTTCGTAGCATTTAAACCGGCGCCGGTGCGTTCTACATCATTTATTTTAAGTAGCGTCGAAATGGTTTGGCCACGTTCTAGCATCAGAGCTTTAGAGCAAAACAGTATATTTCGACCTTTATTTCAGGTTTTAATGCTTTAACAGGGAAGGTGTGTTATCGTGTACCACTTAGCACCAATGATTATTTTTGCACTCTGCCATTGAGTTCGCATTATTAAATTAACAGCATCCTCACAGCACTAAACCAAAGACCTCAATGAAAACGCGACTGATAAGGAAGCATGCCAGCGCGCCAGAAAACTTAATTTAACTGAGAATGCAGAAATGTTTAACTTGCTAGTGACAAAATTACTGTCGTGAAAGTGTTTATTCAACCCCTTAATCCGGTCGCTCCGCCTCCGACAGAGGGTTCCCCTTGTCGCAGCATGTCGCCTGCCGCGCGAATCCTCAACTCCCTCTTCATTGGCACTAATATTTATCTTGGAGTATCCCCACACCTAGGTCTCGATGTTAGCCCATTTATGACTCACACATCCGAGCTATAAGTACGCTCGCGCAAACCCCACACACGACACGACACCAACATGGTTGAGTTCTGAAGTAAACGGTTGTGTCCCGTCATTTCCGGTCTTTTTCCTTCATCGCGGGTATCAGGCAAGCGTAATCTGGCAAAGGTTATTTCCGTGGCCCCGGCGTGGTTCACGACCACATGCTGGGGCCCACATCATATTACTACGGTGGGTTTTGGATGCTAACGCCTCTCGGATATTGAACTTAGTAACGTCGAGGCAGTGCTCTTTCCCATTAACACCCCCTTGACCTGACAGACACTCCAACGAACATCCACTTTGGGTACTTTAAAGTCACATGCTTCATAGACGAAAAACTTTAGCCCATTTAAGTGTAGTGTTGTCTACCAAAGCCACCGTGTTTACTGTTTCTTCGGTTGGCACTTGACACATGACTAACTTGCTATTGGAGATTCCAACAGATACACATTGCATGTTTGAATTTAAATTCCCAAACTTATGACCGTTTAAGCGGTCGCAGTGGACAGTAAGCGACCAGACAATGATGGTGTTACGACAGTTTGGCTGATTTCTTAATCCTCTACTAATAATACCGATTTGGTAATTTGCGTCACTGATTCTCTCCCCGCCTAACAACTTCGTACAAACAGCCGCCACTTCTGGTGTTTTCAACTGACCACAAACGAACATGCTTTCGAATTCATGCAAATAGTCTGTTAATTACTAAAACAACACAAATTGGAGGCGTTTTACTTTTTCCGGGCAATGTTATCTTGCTTGAAAAGTATTTTTGTATACTCTAAATTAATTGTTACATATGCGCTCACATACTCATCAGTCCAAATCGAGAAATTTCTAAAATTGGATTCATTCTTGATTCCATTATTGCACACTTAAACGGAAATGGCTACTCCTCAGTTATAATTCGAACAAACTTGATTTCCCCAATCAAATTATACAAACAAACATGATTGAGAAATCCAATTAAAACCAAAATATGCTCATTGTGCACCATATTGGAACTGGAAATATGTGAATCATGCACAGTGATTTTTTTGGGAGAATTCTTTAATTAATCACACACAAGGTAATGGTTTATTTTTTAAAAGCTCAGACTCACACGTCAGTAAATTAGATTGGAGCTAAAGAAACTCGTTTCGGAGTTGATAGATGAAATTACGTATTTCGTAAAACACCCATTACAGTTTAAAAGGAACGAAGTAGAGGTTTGACTGACCAAACGTAGATCGAATTATGTGATTAAGGCATCAGTGTCCTAACCATGCCTTACTGGTACTCTTGTAACATGTTATGCAAGATGAAAGGTGCAAAGAATAAGCCCAAAACACCCACCATGCTGCCTCCAGTCCCATATCTCGCTTCCCCCAGGCCACAGTTTGGCATCTCTGTACGTGACCGTTTCTTTCGGAATCAGTTTGCCATCCTCATCGAATTTTTCCACCTCTATCAGGCCCCACTTCACACGGATAATCCTTGGTGATGGCGCTGGAGCAAAAGATTCCATCGTTGTGGTCAAGTACAAGTGAGAAACTTGTTTGCGTTTACCTGAGTTGCACAAATGTGAAGTGGACACAATTGGCCAATAGGATTACCTGACGCACCATCCTATGATTGGCCAGATGCAAAAAGTACGAGCGTGTAGAAATCTGTCTGACGATTTTGAATGGTCTCAGGCGTAGATTTGCACCAACAACGTGGTAAATTCTTCATTTCGTCTACAAATTGTGCCCTAAATGGAAACGATTTTGATTCCACTACATTCATGACTTTACCACCGAAATTATTTGCTAAATGAACCACAATTCCTCTGGAAGCTTACTCCAAGATAAAGCCGCCAACTTCATTATCTAAGATGATTTGCGGTGTCGGGTCCATTGGGATATTATGAACACACAGGGAAGGCCGCTCTTCACTGAATACCGAAATTATCTTGATTTATATTAAGTAGCCTTTGGTCATCAGGAGCTACCTAATAAATTCACAAATGTGTAAATTCATAATTTTGTTAAATTGAAAGGAATCTCTAAATCATCAAAACTTTATAGCTTCATAAAACCGTACCTCGAAGTGTCTTGGTTTGATAAATATGCAGAAATCAGACAAATGTGCGACTTAATCTTCATGACACCAACTTTTACCTGCACAGATTGGCGTTTTTTATCTGCTTGTGAAGTCACATCAAAAAATAGGTTGAGCCTTCAATTCCCAACCTTAAATGCCTTTTTTCTTCCAGTTGGCTCCGCAGCAAGTCGACCGTTTATTGTGATTATCACAGCCACGTTATTTCTTCAAAACATATGAATTAGCTAAGGTTCTAAAAACACTGAGAATTATAGTGCACGAGCATTAAACGGACTTTCCCGCCAGTGTTTTAATGCAAATGAACATTTATAGGTTTAGCCGTTGACCGTCATGGTTGAAACGAAATTAGATAACAGACATTACCATTTGTTAAAAGTGATACCTTGTGAAATAAGCTTGAGGTCTGTGGATAGGAGCCTTTTTTCTAAGATGAGAGAGATGATGACGTCAGTCTTTGTGTGAAAGTAACAGGTTTTCCATTTTTAGGCACTTGAAATTACCAAATTAAAGCTGTTTTCCCAAATTTACGCAAAAATGTCTTCGATCACAGAATTATGTTGCCTGTCAAAGATAACATTCATGCTGTGAAATAAGTCTTGTTAATTCCATGGAAAAAATTGTTGTTTGTAAATATTACCCACGTTCAAATTAATTGAAAAATAAGATAAACATAATGCATTCAATCATTGATTCATTTTAACGATTTGGGATCTATCCGCATTTTACAGCTTATAAAATTGACATTCCGGCAATGTCTTCATTAAGCGACATGGCTACAAGAAAATGAAAATGGCCTTTCATTAGCTTCACAATCTGTCAGATTTGTCTACGAAAATAAGCTTATTGTCGATTGTGAATACGGTTTGAATTATGATTAAGTGGCCTTAATTGATACGAATGAAGTAAATGTATTCTCTTCTCCAGAAGGGCTTGCTGTTGCCGTCAGCAACCACAAGCACCGGTCTCGCTTAGAGCACTTGGAACACAGCTTGACTTTAATTGTGCGAGAAACCAAACCCCGCTCACACATTCCCTTATCGAATATTTCAGGCATTTTTCTTACCAAACTAAAGGCCGACTCAAGTCGTCCTCGTTGCGTCTTGCCTGTGCCCAGAGAACCAATGCACTGCTACCTTTTCAAACACAAGCCCAAACTCCCCAGTACAAGATCTCCAGCAGGGAACTGTAATATGTTTCCTAAAGAGCAAGTATCATGCCTTGTGCTACTCCGACTTCGTGAATTTGAGCCAACACGAGTTATCGTGTAGTTTTAGCGGGTGGAAGGCGTGAATGGAACGTTTGCCGATCCTCTGGAACACCCACATCCCAACACCCCAATAGTTTATTTATACTACCGAGCCAATGGAGGGCAGCCAAACCACCCATAGTTCTCCACTTTCATGTCTCAAAGGGAATTTAGCTGTTTTTCAACGATAACATTCTTTATGTAAATAATAGATCTGATCCATGAAACAAAACATGCAAAATAAAGGATTGTACGCCTAAATAAAATGTGCTCAAATAAGAAATATTTCCGCCAACCAATAATTTTCCAAGCCTCCCAGTTTGAACGTGGGATGCCTTTATGCTAATATTATTGGAACAATGTTTAAAAAATACACTTCAGAATAGAGGCCCAAGGGTTGTCATACACGCGAACCTCATAACATCTGATATTAAATTTTGCAAGCAGCTTAAGGCAGCTTAAATAAGACGAAGACCACTACTTCGATGATACTTTGGAGGGCCCCAGTGAGATTTCGGGCCGACAATATACACTGACAAGGCCCGACCGAAAGAAGAGTGGAAAATGCAGATGGCGCGTAACTCAACTCCTTTATTGATACAGCAGCCGTTTGCTGTGTGTGTACAGGATAACGAGTGCGTTCACGAAAAATCGATTGAATCGTGTTCGCTCACGACTGCTTGCTTGCTGCTCACCGCAATACTAACCACCTGGCGGTACTTGGAGAAGTAACAATTCATAATTCTTCGAACTTCGATTTAAATCAGGTTTCAGGAATTCGCTTTAGTATGCGACGTCCGGAGTTGTTCGCGTGACGAAATAGTTCACTTACGCTTCACTTATTTGCATTCTAGATAACGCGTGAATAAGTCTCGCCCCTTACAGTCACAAACGTCCTCATCAAGGACGTTTTGTCGAGAGTTGTACTTGCTGAAGATATTTTCATCGTGATCATAAAGCCATTGTGCATAATACCTCAAATTAAGTTCCTAAATAGACAATTTTGATATGCAATATGTTTGGAGTTTTCAAAATTGCTAGTTATACAACAGATGGGGTTAGGGACGTAGTCGAAGTAGCAGTGGTTTTTTTTAAAAACCAAAACCTAAAGGGTAAAATACAGTCCTAGTTCCAATTAAATTTAAAAAAAATGTTGTACAAGGGTCAGTATTAGGCAGCGTTTGCCCACCTACGTTGTATGCGGCATTTCACAAATATGTACTTCCACCCAAGTTAGTGCCACTGAGCCCAACAAGATATGTGCAAGCCATTTCGGATTATGAAAAGGTGAGAAATAAAGGGATAAACAAAATCTCTCAAAAGCAAATAATTCAGACTTTCGAATTTAGTTTGATGCAACATTTCTCATAATTTATTTGATATCTCAAAGTGCAAATACTTCTTATTTACAAAGATATTTGGCTTCTTAGAAGTAACTTGTAAAGGTATGTCAAATGCTCACCAAGAAGATTTCTAAAAAAATCGCAAATGGTTAATAAAAGTGGGTAGTCCGTTTCGGTAGGAATCTATAGACACGCATTGCCCAGGAGTCCCTCCTTTTAACCAACCAACGACTATCACATCTTCCAACGAGAGAAAGACAAAACCAGGAAGGGACGCCAAAACGATCGTGTTAGTTATCAAAGTGTTTCCGTACACGATTACCTGGGTGAAACCTGTCGAACTCGATAACTGGCTAGTTCTCTGTGTGTTCCACTACAACAGCGCGCAGTTGAGAGTCCTGCCTCAAATTCAACACTCTCTCATTCTCTGTAACCCCACAAGTATTGATTAGAAATCGCACCAATTTCTGAAGGCCACCAGAAACCGGTTTACCCAATTTCTTTGCTAAACTTTAAATAACAGGAAAAAAATCAGATTTAATAAAAATGGCCGAACTTCAATGACGTATCATACAAATTTGGCCTGCTTAAATGAAATGTAGGAGAGGCCCAGCACACTCAAAGAATAGAGCATTGGTATCGCCAGTTGCGATATTAAAGCCAGCTCGTTTTGAAAGGATTCTGCTGTTACAAAAACGTCAATTTTACCAAATCAGTTGTCCGAACTCAAAAACGGAATTTAACTGTAAAAAGAGAAAGAAAAAACTTGGCGTGATTTTCGGCATACAGCACTGTCCGAAATTTATAAATAAAATGAAAAATCTTTTTATTAGCTGAGCACGGAGGAAGCAGGAACGTAGAGGTTGAATGGGACTGATGAGAGTAACTTTCACGCGAAACTGCCCCCTGGCTAAATATTTAATGCCCAACTTCTCTGAAATTCGCGTCAGAGGTTCTTTGTAGCCAAGATAGCCGTCAACCACATCAAACCAATGGCCTCCAGATTGTGTCGATGTTATACAGCCAGTTCATGTAAAGGGAATTGATATAAATCGTCCCCCGTGTCCGTCAACACTTCAAAACAATGCTTTTATCCACAAACTGAAATACGTAATCAGAAAATAATCATTCACTCTTTAGACAAAAGAAATCCTAGTTGCTCGAAGTCAAAGCGGATCCCTCCAATGTACTCGATCTAAATGCAATTGGAATGCTTCCGGGATTATAAAGAATAATAGACGAATGCTACACTATTAGAAATATTATAATTCCTCCCCAAAGCCGCCATAACCCTCGGGTCATTGAGTACTTGAGTTCCTTCATTTCGATAGGACCGTAGCAAGCACCAAACAGGGATGACAACAAGTCCGACTACTAAGTACTAGCATTTACTCGAGATAAATCACTTAACAAATTACCAAGAGGATTAGTGACACCATGTGCCAACAACTGCAACAACAAATGTTTTCTTCGACTTCCTTTCTTCCCTTAACTATATGAATAGACCTCTTTCTACAAACTCTTTTATTCGATAATCTGGGACCATACTGTACACTGAGCGGAAGGATAGTCTTTCTTAACGTCGCTGAAGGTAGATAAGGTGCGGAAGTAGGCTTTCAGGATCTCCCGACAAGTCTGGAAATGCAATGTGTGGCGGAATGACGTGGACTGTGAGGTTGAAGCGTTCGGCAGATTCCTTGGACGACACCAAACGGATAAATCGGTCCAGTGTCCCACTGCGGAGCGGAGCAACTGCGAGGAATGTCGAACCAGGCGAACGAGAAAGGAGAAAGTCAATGGCTGATAGGAGACCACCGTGAGTGTTATGCAAGAAAAAACAATCAGCCCCAAAAACCAAATCAAAGGAGTTTTTCCAGTTCTCGTGAGCGGCCGGAAGGCTTGGCCTGTAACCAACAAAAAGTGAAGGTGGAAAGGTTAATTTACAATTTTTCTGGGACCAGAAAGCGTATAAACTGGAAGTATTACACTTCATCTACCGTGTCCGGCCAACGCAGCAGCGCCGCTTCCAATCTGGGGAAACAGGCAGTTTCGCCTGTCTTCACGACGACGCTGAGACTAGCCACACACTCCAAATTGCCATCTGTTATGGCAACATATTCCGGCCCAGATGACCTTGAACTTCCATTGGCGAGAGCAAAACCAGCGACACCCAAGCGCCCAGCGGCAATTTCCAGGGCACGACGACACTGAGGTAAGTTAAGTTGTTGAATAACAGGTAGCGACGCAGAAGACACAAGGATACGCGCCAACAGGAGTTCACAAGGCCACAGACTGACGACGCCTGATCGATCGAATCCAACGAGTGCTTCCAGACTGTTTTGTTCCTTACTTGATAAAGAAGGATTGGGGATAGGTAGCAAAAAAGATGTCGGTACGGGAGCTTTTCGGAGATTGAGCCTCCACCAAGAGACTTCGCTTGGTTCCTTAAAAAAGATACTTTATGAAAACAGCATATAAAGTGGTCCAGTAAATGTCGTTTGCTCGGACCTTAGTCAACTAGGGCTAAAAGAACGCATGCGTTTAAGTCATAAATGAGGTAAAAAAACACGATGTCGAAAGGCTTTGGCTTAAAAGTCAGGGCCTTTAGTGGAAATTTTTATTATCTTTAGGATTCCAACCAGCACATCTAGTGCATTAGATTTTATTTCTTCAAAACGCCTCAAATGTCATTTCAAGGTACCACTGCAACGAATCCAATTGCAGGTGAAAAAGTGGTTATAACGCAGAGCGGAGACAACGCGGCACAATGGAGCCATAGTTCAATGGGTGTGTCAAGACTGCACTTTGGACCCGAAATCGAGAATTGTGCAGCAGTTGAGACAATAAAACGGACGTCTGAGAGAATTTTAACTTCGCAGTGAAGTGTATTTTTACAAACAAGTAGTTGTAAGGGAATAAATCACCAAACGTCACCACAGTGAACATTATCGGATTTTCGGAAATTACATGATTTAAAAAAAACTTACACGAATAATCTCAAAAGTGGATCAAGTCACAATGAACGAAGCGAATTGGCTCGTAAGAAGAGCCAGTGATTTAATGAATACCTGTCTTGTAGTACATTGTCATACTCATGCATAAATATTGGCCCACTAAAGACGCCTAAGGCTTAGTCAAGAACCCATGCAAAGCGAGTCTGTATAAGTTTCACACTGAAGTAACTGTTGTTTAGTGTTACGGACCTTGATGAGGGGATAAACACAAATGTATGGACTAACAATTTCGTTAAACCAAGTGACATTAGTGATTCGAGTGTTAAACTTCGATGGGTCTACAAAAGTCACCTCTATGGAGAAACAGCGCCCTTGATGACAGGACATGACTTAGTGAATATTAGATAGCGGAAATAGATGAAGTAAAATTCCTCGATTTAAGCATTAAGACTCATCCCCAAAGAACCCATTAATTTCGAACGAATTTATTTAGGGAAAAATAACGAAAGATGTACGGAAAGATTTTGGGCAGCAGACGTGCATACGATCGCTACGAGAATTATTATTTTCGCACAAAAAAAATAACAGTACACAAATAAAAAATCGACAGCTAAAAAGAGAAACAATGGCACCGGTAAGGTGACGCGAAAGCAACATTTGTAGTTAGTTACAATTCGGCCTTAGTTTTCATGGAAATAAGTGTTACCTCTGATTTATCTTCGATGTGTGTGATATCAAAGAGTCCAAAGACGTCAGCCGATGGGAGGTAGGTGGTGTCACTAGTCTTCCTGTCCACATTTCTCACGTAATTCCTAAGAATACGCCAGAAGCGTCCAGATGATCTAGTTTGGCACGATGATTCTTCATTCATGAACTGTAAGGACAAAGAACCACCTCCGGATAGAAGGCAAAGTTTTACCGCAGACTGTGCTGACTAGAAAATACTTAATTGGACACACAATTATAATTGATCACGGTGGAATTCAAAAAGGGTGTGAAATCGCCATGGATCATTGTCATATCGATGACCATAAGTAGCAGCTAAGTTAACATGAAAAATTGCAAATATCGTAGAGCATAGCACTATAAGCGTCGTCGGCTGCAACCGCGGTACCTTTCTTACAGTGGAGAACCACTGAATGAAAAGATACAACCGTAAATAAGCTTCGCGCAAGGAAACATGAAGGCGATCATTATAGGGAAGCTTGCGGTATACATTCGGACGGCTGATAATATTTGATTATAGTATTAAAGCCAAAAATACCAATTTTAATTGAAGTAAGGTTTCTACTGTTTAGCACACAGTTAAAGTGCGGTACATCTCACTTGATTGCCAATAATCGGTCATTTCTAATGGTGGTGACTAGATTGCATAAATTTTCACTATTAACATCCTCCGAGCCCCAGCAATTATTCATAATGTGAAGCAGCAGAATTGAGCGTTGAAATAATGGACTGTAAAATGGAAATTCTTACCATAAGTAAAAAAGCCCCCATTAGGACGAAATAATGCAGCTAGACAGTAACTTACTATAAATATAAATGAACATCAGTGTGCTCCGAAGAAATTCCTTTTAAATTAACAGAACGCAACTAATCAAAAAGGCAACTGGAATAAATGTGTGACCCCTGTTAGGGCCGCAGGTTAATGAATAAGGCCTCAAGGGAAGATCAACACCCAACCAACGATAAGCGTAAATTAGGACCGCCCATTTAGAATGGGCGGCCTCTTCAGCAGAAAAAACGGACAAGTCCTCAGTATGCCTACATTTACATGGTCGTGTTCGAATGGATGAATAACTACTCAATTTTTGGACCTTCGCTATATTAATAAAGCATGTGAGAACTATATTGTGAGAAGTAATGAAGAAAGTCTAATTCACATGCCAATGCAAATTTGTATTAGATCTGCGTAATGAGCCACTTAAAATGGTTTCGTGCACGGCGATTTTCTAAAATTCTTGTTAATCAAGCACTACTGAGCTAAAATGTTACAATCCACGACTCGTGATGCAAAAAATATTTGCTTCTTTGTGATTTTACAAATGGTAGTAAATAAATTCAAATTCATCACAATAGGATAGAAGGTTCCCTTGGCTTTTGCCCTAGTTAAGTTCATTTTTTGGCAAATGCGAATCTTAAAAATAGCAAATTGACTTTGCCTTGTACATCTTACCGGGAAATCAAAAAGCCCAAGAGCACAGCAGCTCTTTACATTCAGAATACCGTTTCATCCACCACCGATAAATTTTCCACATGCAAAATACCAGAACCCCACGGTTCGGAAGATGGGATGAGAAACTTTGATTTATTACAACTGACAGCAGACATTCAGAAAGATACGTGGTGGGAACTCCAATTTCTATGCAATAAAATCAACGTATCCACTGTCACAACTTTAGAGCGAATAAGCGGTATTTTGAAGAACATAGGTTTAATAAGACCTTCCAATAACCAGTTCTCATTCGAATTCGCCATCCCAGCTGAGCCTTCCACTATAGCACGTACATCTTGATCGCTATCTCTGGTTGGCTGCTGATAAACCTTATAAATCATTTAGAAACAGATAATTGGCTGATTTGAGTGAACCAGAATGGCTGCGACCTTTATTTTGCACTAAGAGCGGATGTAGAATACCCGAGCCCTAATAGGTAAAAGACCGGTACAACAGAACAGGCTTTATTGACCAATCAGAAGCCAGAGCCACACGTCAGGCGCCTTCCACCCGAGTCCACCACACTGGCCACGCCGCTCTTTATATACTGCATCTCATCCAAGCCCTTCTCTGGTTGGCTGCCTTCCTTTCCCGCATGCCATTGGATCGCAGAGAGACACGGGATTGGCTGAGGCCAGGTGGTCCAACATGTCTGCGCCCCGATCCGACGCCACACGGACGCTAATGTTTCTTTCGACCGTTTTCTTAAGGTTGCATTGCCCTTGACGATGCCTTTCGTAGAACGCCCGAGTCATGGTCTTTCTATCCCGGCATTAAGTATTCAAACTCTTGACGGCACTGGGTTAGAATGCTATCACAATCTAATTGTTGTAGACCAGCTTCTTCTGTTCCTGTGGTGTCGAAACTGACAATTCCTGGTGTATGCACAGACTTTGTAATGAAAACGTTTTGTTATTACATATTCACAGCTTTTTATGGCAAGTGATCTGATAAATGAAGGTGAATTGGGGCATGGCAACTTTGCGTTTGTCCAAAAGATGCGACATCAGAAACTTAATTGTGCGATGGCGGTAAAGGTACAGTATTTGTTCGAAGCAAACTCTGTGCTGTAGATTGTGAGATCAGTACTCAACGAGCGCGAAAGGAACAAATCTCTTAAGGACTTACATATAATCATGAAATCAAAATTTGAGCGGATCGTTACTTTCTACGGAGCAATTTTTCACGAAAGTGAATGCTGGATTTGCATGGAATTAATGGACTCGTCTCTAGATAAATTTTATAAAATTGTTTACAACGAACGTAATTTGGCAATTCCAGAGGCTGTGCTCGCGAAGATAACTGTTGCTGCAAGTCTTCTGTTCTTTTTTCATGGTTCATCCATTTTGCATTTGCATGAATGTGGGACTCTCATTTACCAGTGTCAAACTAGAACCACCTCTTTTTTTGTAATATTAGTATTTGGCCTTAACGTCTTAGTGGTGTTCTTGAATGCCCGAGTTTGTAGAACTGTGTGAATCAGGTTACTTATGCTATTGCCTCCCTTCCAGCTAATAGTGAAAGGTTTAGTAAGCTTTAAGGTATCAATTCCCTAATCAGTCTTCTAGACGTGTCACTGAGGTGTACCTAATTTTGCCAAGCATCTTTGCAGGCGTTTTTCCTTTCCACCAACAGATAATGGGTAAATGTCGATCACATAATAGGTTCATTTTAATGCATTTGGTTTTAGCTGAATTAGTCTGAACTGCCTTTATTTTCTTTTTACGTGCTGATTACTTTCAATGATAGCATCTCTTTTGTCTGACTTGTTTCGGTGTTAATTGTGCTAAAGCAGTATAAAACCCTTCCTATCACCGTTTGTGGAACTTAGCTCGTCACGTAGTTCGTCCCATTTCGTCATTGCTTCAAATTAGTCTGTTAATGCTTGCCAAATCATAGTTCTGAGAATCTGTCTCATGAAAATCTTACAAAAATGAATCTATCTCAAATTCAGATAAAGTCAGCTGAAAGCTAATTTTAGTTTAACGAGTCAAGGTAAAGCATCGATTGGCATGCTCAGGTTACAGTCGAATGTTAGTTCTAGGAATCTTGCTACGTTTCGCCCTCAAATGTCTCCGGGTGTGGTTTTCAGTGTTCAAATATTAGGAGTCAACTGTTTTAGCTTAGCCACCCTATTAATACAAAAGCAGTGAACAAACTAGTAGAAGGGGCCTGGTGAGGCACACATTTTAGACCGATCCTATTGATGATGAAAAAAACCTAGGAACCATCAGGAAACCTTAAAATTGCCTTTAGCACCCAATGCATGTTTTGAAAGTTCTTATGAGAGTTGTAGCTACGTATTAACCTTTTCCGAATATCACACGATGTACTCACGATTTTCGGCATAAGCTGTATGCCCGAATGACTGGTGATTCAAATTATGATTAGATATTTATTTTTGCCTTTGATTCTCAACAATGTGCGTCGCCTGGACAAATTTTATTCGCGTTACTCGGGGCACCATAGAAATTCTGGCCCTTGTAGGCTCTGTCAGTACGTCTTGGCACGTCGTAAATATCTACTGATTTTTGGATTTCTTTTTATTCAAGTGTTTTAACACGACCTCCATCTCTACAGATTTGCTACCACTGTACTTTGCCAATACTTTTTCGCTATCTTTTTGTTCTTGCTAATACACTTTGCATCAGTACTTTTTAACAACGTTCGTGATTCGAAAAAACTACTAGTAGTAAAACGTTTTGGTTTATAAATACCGTTATCCCATGTGGCTGTTGTACCACTTTTACGTCAGTTTTTCTGTGATGCCTAGTTAATTTGAATTGCAGAGCCGCAATTCCAGAGCACTTTACCATAATACCGCTATAGTTTCCCTTTTTACCGTGAATGCATTGTAAGCGCTATAACACTTCCCTGCCTGTAATTTAAAAAATCGTATTTTTTTGTATTTCAGATCGTATCTGCATTAAATTATCTTAAATGTGAACTGCATGTGATACACAGAGGTTAGTGACTTTGATTGTAAACTCCAATGTGGTTGCGTTTAATATTTCCACATCACTGTCCTTTTCAGCTGCAACGACTCCTCGTACTTTCTTCAATCGTTGTTAGTTTTCGTCCCGATTAAAGTTTATCGCTTTGACCATTCCCGTCCGATTTTTTGGTTTGCCTGACCTTTCTTGTGACGTGGGGTCAAGTTTGTAGAGGTTAACCTCCCCCTACAACCTTGCGCAGCCTGGAATTCAAGCGAAAGGGCAAGATCTAAGTCGCTAATGCAATTGATAAATCAACTTAGTAGTCACCTGGTCTCTTGCAAATTTATGCCACCTAGAACGAAACGTTGAGCAGATTCCTGTGATGGTATTCCTCCAATGCAGTACCTTTTTAAGGTTTTACTTTTTGTGGGTTCCTTTCTCGTCAAATTACAGTCATGTATCAAGTCATAAATCCCATATTTCCTGCTGTTTGTTTTTATATAATTTGGTGGTGCCCCATGGACGTTTTTACGTTCGACTAGCGCGGTTTCCTCTTATTTCTGCCTCATTGGTTGCTTCGTCTCGATTAGGGATTATCAGAATAGGTGTGCAGTCTGGGAGTTGGCGTATTGGCGATGCAAGAGCGATTGTCATCAAATCATTGGCTCTTGTTAATAGTTAATAATCCCAAATTTCATGTGCATGAGATCTGCTTTTTTCTCCTCCAACTTCTTGCATTTTCGTTTGTACTCCATTTTTGTACATCTCACCTAATTACCGTGTGGTCTGCTTTCGACTTTTTCTCAAGTCATTGTCAAGTATCTGTTCGTAGCATCTCGCTAGTCTGTGGTCTCTAACACCACGTCAACTTAATTGATTATGTTTTACCATCCAAACGTTCTCGAGGCTACAACTTTGCATTATTTTTTTGTGCAAACCACCTGCTGATATGTAATTAAGTTTGCCGTTTAAAAGCTACTTTTAGTTTTTTTATTTGCTTGTGAAATTACTGTTCTAGACATCATGTTTCTTTAACACAGCCAAATATTTTCAGAATTTCACTTTTTTGGTAGTAGGGCGAAACCCAACAGCATTGTACTTTGATACCATGTTGACAAAACCGGTTCCTTGAAGTCCATAACCAGAATACGCTGGAATACTTCATTGAGTCTGTATTCGATTCGGTCGAAGGCCAATATGCCATGTTGTATTCCTCAAATCACTCATTTGTAGTTGCTGACTGTATCTCCCATGTACAATTTCTGGGTTTTGCATTTGACCAGGATTTAAGAAATCTTTCCCTGGAATGATTGCAAACCGTTCATGTCCCTTGCGGGTTTTTCTTTCTCCATAAGTTCTTCGTGGCTTCATGAAATTCGTTTCCACAGCGTAAGATTAATTTAGTCGATTTGGACACCTTTGTAGCTGTAGTTAGAGCAGTGTTAATTGTAATAAAAAGTTATTGGTTAATCTTGTTGCAGAAAGAATAACTCCACTGAAAAGTTCTGTTCATTATAAACTGTGAGGTCTCGAAAAGTGTGGTTTCCTAATCTCTAATATCTATCCTTACTTTGGTCAGTAGCTTTCGTCTTTTCTTCACTACGTCTAATAGTTCTTATTATGTCCTTCAGATGTGAAGCCCTCCAATGTACTCATCAACAAGGGTGGAGACGTGAAGCTCTGTGACTTCGGCATTTCTGGCGACTTGGTAAACAGTCTGGCCATGACAAAGGACGTTGGTTGCAAGCCCTACATGGCAGTGAGTCCCTCTCTTTGATACCTGTCATACGAATGAGAGCATAAGTTGAATCCCTCTGATACTGACACTGTTACGTGATACAAAGTCCCGCCTTCACAGATTTCTATGTAGCCGGAAGACGACTTGATATCCGTCTTACTGGGATTACTTTTAAAATTCGCATAAACTGATAAACTTCAATATTCATAACCTTAATTGATCAAAACGAATGCTCAAACGATAGCGTCTAACCTTATTCCTAGCCGGAACGCATAAACCCCGATCTTATGTCAAGCGGCTACGACGTGCGTTCAGATGTGTGGAGTTTGGGAATCAGTCTGGTTGAGTTGGCGACCGGTAGCTTTCCATACCCGTCTTGGAGATCACCATTCCATCAGCTCCAGTCGGTCCTCCAGTCACCCTCCCCGGAACTGCCTCCAGACAACAAAGTCGCCACCCCGTTCTCCCCGCAAATGCGCGAGTTTGTCAACGCGTGCCTCCAGAAGGACCTGAATAAGCGCCCCAAATACGCTGCTCTCATGGTTCGTCAATTCGACCGATTCATAGCATCACCGTGTTAACGCGCGTATTCACCATCAACGGTTTTTTTTTAATGAAAACCCACAAGAGTTGGATTTCCTAGTAGTTCAAATTCCTAGTCCTTTTGTTGAATTCATGAGCCCATCGACTGAATTGGGGTGTGGGCGCTCATTATCCAGTAAAATTCGATTTTCGCGGTCGAAACTTCCATTATTGATTTCATTAAAAATTATGTTGAAGTCTTCCACATCCCAGGTCGATTTGATTATTTTTGACGTTTCGTCGTTACTAATGCTGCCGACGCTACGGAACGGTCAAGTTTTGACACCTGAGTAGGTCCGGCATTTACCCGCATGCACATTGGCGTTAGATAAATTTTCAACCCCTTCGAGTCGACCTATCAATATTACCTAGATCATACAAATTGGCATGTTCATTTTTCTCACTAAGGTGCTTGATGTGACCTCGATTTACCCCATTTTATGCGACCCTATTTTAACCGTTTTTTTAAATGGCCAGCCCGAGGTATTGTACTTTATCTCTACAGTTTTAGTAAAACCAAATAATCAGTTTTTGGTGTCATCGTCGTGAAGCAATGCGTTTCGTCTTGCGTGTCTATGCCCAATTCGCTGACGTTTGTCTCATTATTTCAGGAGTTGCCGTGGTACAAAGAAGCCAATAAATCAACTATTGACCTCGGTGCATACTTCACGGAGATTCTAGACCCCAGATAACCTACCGATGCCCAACTCGAAGAGTATTTTATTTGTCTTGCTTCTTTACAACGAAAAGTATCTCTGTCGTAAATATAGCTTCATTTAATACTAGACACTCTCCCTGCTTCTATGGTGAGACATCAGTTACTCCATTCTCCTGGGTAGCACACAGGCACGAACGTGAAAAACTTGTGTAAAATCACAGTGAACGCGAAAATTCGTTGTGGTCGCAGTGGTGTGAACCAATTAGTTCTTATTCTGCTCTGACGCGTTGTGCACGTTTGACACCATTTTGGATGTGATTGGGTAATCGCAGTTGGGTTACGGTTTCGATGTAACAACACCCATATCAGTCGATTTCACCCAAGCAAGATTTTCAGTGCCTCTGATTGTGCACAAGTATGCTGTATCAAATGTTGTAGGGAGTTTGTGTAAGATCAGTTCGTACAAAAGTTAGCTTCGTAAGCCTTAGTGATTCATAGCCGGCAACGCTTTACAAGGTAATTTCTGGTCGATATGCGCATTTTCGTAGTAAATTTCCATTTCAAAACTGAACTTTGTGTCGACAATCGAATTATCGCTAAGCGACCTTAACAGATGCAAGAACCCAGTAAGCATCAGTTCGTGTATAATTTGTATACAAGTTTCCTTGAATCATTATGGCGTGTTTTTTGTTGGGGGGTTGCTGTCTGTGTTGCTTTCTGGTTTGGGAATGACGGCCTTACGAGAGCACGAGATTAACTGACGCTTCCATGGGAAGCCCACTGCTGTCATACCACTTGACGACACCACTGTTTACAAGGCCGCCTTGAATATCAGGTCATCAGTCGTAAATTGTAAATGTTCCTCAAATTTCAATGTGATTAGCTTTTACAATTTGAGTTGCCCTTGTGTCAATACAAAATGACTGAGTTTCGTGCAAGGTGGTTTTTTCAAATCTCTATCACCTCGATTCGGTTTCGCGTGCCCTCTCTATTGAACCAATCAAGATAAGACAGTACTCCCATGGGGCTTACTCAGGCTCAGGTCAGTCTTGAAAATCGCTAGATTCAAACGTCCTCTCTCAGTAAGACGAATAAGTGTTGACCGGTATGTCCCAACAACAGTGGAACATCAAATCTAGGGGTCAGTAAGTCCCCGTTTTTTTTTGAGTTTAGCTTTCGTCAGTTGGAGAACTATCTATTTTACCCGGGACAGAGAACAAATAAGGCAGCTCTCCATCTTAATCTAACCAATTTTGAGAACTTGGTTAATGCGGTCTCAGGAGTACCCCTCGACATAACGTATATGTACCCGAATGCTTGGAAGAACAATGATCTCTGTTTCCTTAAACACTAGGAAAGTCGACAGCTATTGTGGGAGCTTAATGAGTAAGTTAAAAGGATCTGGGGGTGCGCCTTTTGGAGGTCTCAAATGAGGACCAAACACATCGACTACGAAAAAACCCATTTTAGATATGCGTATTAGGAAGTTAATGCAGTAACCATGATCTTAATCGATTACTTTCGATTTGACATCAAGGTGAAGCGGAAACCCACTGGCTTCATCCGTTTACTCTTTCATATCAATAAAAACGCAGAAAAATACACGGAGACTCGAGAAGGAGGAGGAGGAGAAGGACATCAGAGCTAGAGTGTTGCGGAATGGGAGGAAGTGGACATCTGAGAGGACCAATAGGAGTCAAGGCGAAATGCGTAGAAAAGAGGCGTGAGGAGTGGAAGATTACGCGCGCGCACCGTTGAATCGAAATGCACTGGTTTTGGACAGGTGAAGTTAACGCAGCCGGTTCAAGTGAGCTGTACCACGGACTGCGACAGGAGGGTTTGTAGTAAGCTTTGCGTCTCGGGACTCAGGTTGCTACTCAACTCGCTCATTATCTGAAAATGCGAACAAGACTATACAATTCAAAGGCTTCTCGCCATTAATGCAACCAAATAGAGCCAGAATTATTTGAAACTAATGCAATTGCTTGTAATTAAAGCCAAAAGGCTGTGGTCTACCACTGACCATGTGTGCTGATGGGTAAGTTAAAGCGAACGAGCTAGGCTACCACCAGCCACTGCACCTCCAGACAACGAGGAGGTAATTGGGCTAGAAGGCAAAGCTTGAATGGGAAGTGAGGGACCTTGAACAGCGGATCCTGTTTGCAAGATCTCAGGACCTTGGAACATCATAACGCTTCGTTTCATTATTCTGACTGCAGCCCAACTAGAATAATGAAACGATAAATTGCTGAGATGATTACCTTGCCGGGGTAACGACGCGACAGGGTTTCAAGGCTTTTGGCGAAATAAAGACGCGGATCCACAACGCCAGGGCAGAGGTCTGGCATCTTGTGAGAGGCGAAAATCAGTGTGAATGAAGCTGAAAAGGGGATAAGGACTCGTCACAATAACCCGACGTTTGATGTAGTTAAGAGAGGTCTATTATGGTCTAGTCACTGCATTTGCCACCGACAGCCAAGAGAACTACACGCGTTTAGTTTATACAAGCCTTTGAATGGTCGCCTATCGGCTACTACTTCAATCGCTGTTTTCACTTACTATGCGTGCAACACACCTACTTTCCATCTCGATAACCCTCAATATCTACACACAGAAATGATTCCGTTCACCGCAGATAGCACCCAAAAACTGATTGATCCGCATTTTGGGTGACTTAGGATAAACTCAATTTACCTACCTCGCTACGTTAGCCCAGTAAAGATGTCGCTGGGTATAGAATAACCGGTCAAATAGTCTAATTTTTTTGAGGCCACGTTTTTGGCAAAACTACTGGGGTGAAGGAAACAACTTTTGAACAATAATGTTTCAAAGACTCAAAAGACAGCTAACGGACCTCTGTGAGTGGATGTCAGTGTTAAATGCTAATCCTACACGGTAAAAAATAGACTGACAGAGTTACAACGGAAAAAAAATTTGGGCCAAAATGATGTTTAACAGCGACAGTTCCAAACAATTAACGGCTGGATAGACTAGAAGCAGAAACGAAGTCTCCGCGTTCTACTAAGCGCTTACCAGAGTCACCGGCAATATCAGTGAATCGCTCGTCACAGAACGCCGACGACTTGGAAGCGGTCATAGTAAAGGCAGTCACAGCGGCTTGAGAGGCCACATTACCACCTCGACCAGGTCCTGCAGCAAGTCCACTGAGGATTGCCGTGACTAGAGGAGCCCAACTATTCGCGTGGTACGTGCCGCCTGGCGCACTGAGCTTATCAGCTTCAGTGCAAAGAGTTATAAGTCCTATGGAGACGGTTCGCCAGTCAGATCGTGCGATATATGACATGCTGGAGGACGAGAGACCATCAAAGGCATCGACGTGGTTTGCATCGCCGGCGTTGCTGTGAGCTGAAACGGGGAAATAAGTGCCTTCAGTAAGCCACCCAATTGTAAACTAAACCCAATCGGTTTCCAAGGAATCATAACTAAGGTTTATACCCCAATACAAAAGAAAAATTTCTGAACCAGATTCACTTGTTTACTGTTGGAATTTGTCAAAGCGATCCAATGGGATACGATTGTACAGTGGGTACCAACTGTAAGTTGAGCCTTCCCTTTATAAACAATTGTTTAATGTACAAGTTTTCAAGGCATTTCGAGGTATCAAGATGACGTTACCTGTGAGAACGAAGGAGGGATTCAGGAGACCGACGGGTGAAGAAATAGCCAACTCAGCAAGTGGGATAATGACCTTCTCGAGAACTCGAGAAAATATTCTGTCCTGGACGCCATCCATTATTGTGACGAGGTCGTTGGCAGAAAAGACGAGTACGAAGTGAGCCAGAAAATTAGTCAGACCTAAAAAGCACATTTTGTTGGATAGCTTAAAATGATCAAGCAAGAGTAGAATTAGGAGTATATCAAAAAAACTGACTTCATGCTTTCTAATAGACGTTTTTCTAAGCGAAAATTTTATTAGATCACAGCCAAAACATTTGGCACCGGATGTAATTTGTAAATAGATTTAGCATCTAAAGACTGCACTCGCTTGTGTACGAAAGTCTTAATCGGAACACATTGAAAAAAGCCCATGTTGTTTATGCTAACAAATTACAATTATAGGAATTGATGTGAATAAGTATTTAGAAAGGCATTACTGAAAGAACACAGTTTAAAAAGTGGTCTCCATCGGTAAAAATGATGAAGAGTAGCGATGGGTCACACGTTTCCGCTCCTTCTAACACTGACTACATGGGCCCAACTAAGTAGTTTCCACAAGACTGCACCAGCATTTACCACTATTACGCGAGGTGAACACATATTCTTTCTTTGATTTTTTTTTGATTTTAAACTCCTCTTGTAGATGTTAAAAAATATGCCGTGAGCGCATCGACATTTGCCCATCTAATAGTCATGCGCCCATTGGCCAATGGCCCACATTGAAAATAAACAATGAGGTATTCAACCGAAGACACCGAAAGCAGTGACGCTTACGATAACGGAACACGAAAAGACATTTGATTTTAATTCGCACAATAACAAGTTATTTAAAACCATTTATTATATCATCTGACTAATTAGGCGAAGCGGTAAAGAAAGCCCTTGAAATCTACAATGTCTGAAGGTACTTTGAAATTCGAATGAGGACTCACAACGCATGAATTTATCCGTCTTTGCAGCCTGCAGGCGCTGGAAAATGCATATGAAGATCTGAGATAAATAGGGTTGCAGATGAACCCGAGGAAAGGCCAATAGAAAGGCGGAGATTATTGTAAATGCGTAGACGTCGTTGGACTTTGAGGTAAGCAGCCGCTGGTACACTCCCAGCATTGCCTCAGCCTACATAATATGAAAGACTTACAAGTGCTGGATTTGGTTTTCTGACAACAGCCCGAGCGAAAAAGTAAGCAAGCTGGAACCTGGGGCACCAAAACGGCTAAGTTACGGGTTTCGTGAAGGGGTATACCGGCGCCCAACTGGAGTTATGCACAATGAGATCAGAAGATAGGTGACTTAATACAAATCTTAATCTACAGGCGCTGTTAACAAACACACAGGTAGCAAAGCTATTGGTTAAAGAAACATAAGCCCGGTGTTGAGGTTTGGATTAGTGACTTAGTCTATCTTTAACGGTTGTTCACAACACTTGTAAGTTAACTTAATGGAATAGCTGGCTGCATCAAATCACCTTTTTAGTGGCAATGACAGCGTCCACATTGTGCAACAGATAGGCTTGCATCAGACGAGCCAGCGCCATAACTGCTCCATGGGTTTCCCATAGGGCGGGGATCAGGAGACGAGGCAGCAGGGTTTGATAGGCTGCGGCCGGCTTCGCTGTCGCGTTGGGGGGAGGCGGAGCAGGCTCGAGGCCTGCGGCTTTCCGCTTGGCCGCGCACACCTCGAGAACATGCGGGCTCAGCGGATACTGCTCCAGCATCACGGCCAACAGTTGGAAGACGTACGGGAAGAATTCTGAAAAATCGATCAAAATGGAATCGATCTTAAATGAACGCCTATTTTCTATCAAATTAGACCCTGTTTGCTTTTATGACAGGCATATTGCGTAAAGCAAAAGGGAGTAAACACAGAAATTGAGAAGTGCCTTAGTCGTTGCTACTTTTCTCTCTCTTCAGTTCTTTATTGACCGAGGTCAGTCCTCCTGGTCTGGTTTTTACCGCCAGTAGATGCTGTGATCCCCATTTCGACGTTCAACTCGTCACACTTTCGAAGTTTATATTTCTAACTTGTAAATTATTCATTGACGTTTGCCTTCTGTGGAATACATACCCACATCTGCACACACAATATACTTGTCCGATCTACCAATACTTAACAAAATAAGTCAAGTGAACAACCGCTTTACAGCACATTTATACAAAAAATGATCGCCAGCAGAATGATGGCGCGCAAAGTAGATCAATTGCAATGACAGAGCCGTAAGCAAGACAGGATTCCAAGCATAAATGCACAAATTGAATTCACAAGGAAGGTTCTATATCACAAGCCAGGTAAATAGATAATCAATAAGTAAGACCGATCAAACACCTTCACACCACTCAACTTACCAGTAATGTCATTTTGCAGTATCTCTTGAAAAAGGGGAAAAAGAGCAGCCTCAAAGTGACTGATAGAGCCTGGTTCCGCCGCGCAGGTCAATTTAACACACAAGCAGAGGCTTTCGAAGAGAAAGTGATTGAACTGGGGCTTTGAGGGATTCTGAAGAGCACACAACAGCAGGTATCAAAGACGGCATCGGGATGCGATCAACAAAGATTAAAACAAGCAAAGCGGTCACAGCATAGGCATTGTCAACGATAACAGTCAATTCCCACAATTTAACTGAAAAATGGGGATCATCGATGCCGAGCTTTAGGGGGAGATAATTTTCGTCATGTTTCGTCAGATGCACAAGCTTCATGGCACAACAAAGGCGTAATGAACCATCATAGTACACGGTGCAACAATATTACCTTGATGATTTGACTCAACCGAGTGACGAGAGCAAGGACAAGAGAATTCATCGATGGCAGACAGCGCTCTTCCAGACAACTGCATGTTCGTAAAAGTGCTAAAAAAGCGATGGAGACGTGTTAGACAAAACAAGCTTGACCGAGGTGCTGCATGTGGGGTGTAATTGATTACCTCGCATAACGTAGACGCTTTCACACGAGGAGGGACGGGAGAGAGCTTCAAGAGAACGCTGAATCAACAGCTCCGGATTGATGATATTGCTTTTGTTGACCCTAAAGATACCGGAATGTTATTGCACAGAGTACTGTTGTGAATCGTGTTTAGTCAACCCCTTAATCCGGTTGCTCCACCTTCTACACATGGTTCCCCTTGTCGCAGCGTGTCGCCACCCGCGCGATTCCTCAACTCCCCCTGCATTCACACGAATATTTACCTTGGAGTATTCCCACACCCAGGTCTCGATGTTAGTGCATGTATGACTCACACACCCGAGGTACAAATACACACGCGCAAGCCTCACACACGACACAACGACACCAATGTGGTTGAGCTCTGAAGTAAACGCTTGTGTCCACGTCCTCTCCGATCTTTTTCTTCATCGTGGGTATCAAGGAAACGTAAACGGGCCGGGGTTAGTTCCGTGGCCTCAACGTGATTTACGACCACATGCTGGGGCCCACGACAGTACTTTCATCCACAAACACAGTTACTTCTGAGATGCCAGTTTTTCTGCTGGTGAGCAATAGGCCTTATTGCTCTGGGTAGAACGATCACAAAATGACGACTTGCAGAACCAAACCTGGAAACCTACCCCTGTAGAACACAGTACCACTGAAGCAGACTGAGTAGCACGACAACTTACAAAGGTGTGAGGATGGGTTGATTTGGGATGGTCATTAGGAGAAGTTTTTCGAGCAGAGTAGCCGAGTAATTGTGAACCACAACAGAGGAGGCGGCGAGGAAATTTGGCGAGAGGTTCACCAGTGTGATGATTGCTGCTGTAGGCAGGAGGCCGCGGAAGGTGATTGCATAGCGTAGACAATCGGCCTTAATTACTGGCAGCTGATCGACTAAAACAGGAATGTGGCAAGCAGTTATTTTACTAAATAAAATTATGTTGAACATGTAAGCGCGCTGTAAGAACACAGATATTGTCATATTGAGCACCAATGATAATTCAGAGCTCAGAGGCATGAAAGATGAAGTAGGACTTGGAAGTTGATAAGTTGTTGCTTTGACCAATGGCGGTGACTAGAACTTGAATCGGTCATACAGCAAACTGACAAGATACGAAAAGGGCTCTGGAAGGCAATCACTAACGCTACTCACCGTTGGGATTCTGCAGCTCAGGAAGGACGTGGGTTTCGAAAAATGTGGGAATGTTTACTAACCGCGACGATGAAGTTACACCGAACTACAAAAAAGCGAGACATTACACTGCATGTAAAACCATGAATCGTGGTCATCAATGCTATTTGAAAGCAATCAGCGTAAGACAATTAGGGGTACATAGTTGCCCTTCTAGGTATGCATTTAAAGAGGCTAAAAGGTCTAACCTTTTCTGTTTTACCCTTAGCGGCGAGTGACGTGACAAGCAAGAGGGCCGAGTCTTTGCTGCTCCACCCGGACATCGGGGTGTTTGCCCCGGTGGCGGCAACGGCGCTGGCGTACTCAGTTAGCAAGTGGTTGATGTAGCTAGCGAAGTTGTCGATCACCGGCCCCTCGAAGGCCTCACAAAGTGCATAGACCAGGTTGCAGGCAGACTTGCGACGCGTATGGGCATCCGAACCCTCAAGGTCACGACGGATGTACTCTTCCGGAGTGTCTTCAAACAGCTCCAGGTCATTGGCTAGAACACCGACCAAATAAGTAGTATATGCACGGCGTTGCTTTAGAGTAAGTCATTAAAACAACGCTAAGGGGTGACGCCACAGAAGAGTATTGGATTTCCATTAAAATTACAGCACTGGTCCAAAACCATGCCATGGGATTTCGCGAACATGACTTGAGTATTGGGCACACACCACTTTCCATCTTATTGGCAGATTTTGAAAATGATGCGCTTCTAAACAGACGCGGTGCGTCAGAAATCCACTAAAATTAACAGTAAATTTGGGGTTTCCTTCGTGTACACTTTAATCGTGCCCCCTATCTCCAAATCCATCGTTTCAGCAGTTCACAGCAGAGGTTTACCTGATAGCTGGATATTCGGAAGAACGATGAGCTCGCAGAGTTTTTGAAGAGTTTCAGGAGCCTCAAATAATTGCTTGTTTTGTGAACGTGAAACAACCGAACTCAAAAAGTCCAAAGCATTTCCAATGAGCTACAACAGGAAAGCATATGCTGGTTACGCAATAATTATTAAAAAAAAATGATGATTTTAAATAATACTTAACGGCTACACAATGTCGGGATGAGAACAGTAGTCAATATATTCACCAATAAGAGGCGAATGAAATGGCTGCAAAAAGCGCCGCAGTTTAAACATGCGTTTTATCTCTCCAGACGAGAAATAAATAAGATTCAATATTCGTACTAAATACCCCCATTTTTAATCCTGTAGTTCACGGGCTACGAATTGAAAATTCAAGTGCTACTTCTAACATGCTTACGAAGCATTGTGAAGTAAGCCTAAATAGTACAAATTGTGAAATGATAAATTGGTTTAGCGAATAAAAGTAAACAGCCACTTTGATGTCCGCCATTAAATTGACTGAATGCAAAGATTTTTAGGCCATAACCAGAGGTTGCAGCACTCCGTTAGAGTGACAAAGTGTCACCACAAACCGACACGATCATAATAGGTGACGTGTTTAGATTTACAAAGGCATTTTAAGCTCACGTGAGGGATCGGGTTTTATGTTTAAATGGTACTATCCACTAAAAAACCTCTACCTCGGGACAACAAAGTTGGGCTAGTTAAAATGCAGTCTGGTATTCGAGGATCCACAAGAACCGTTTGCTGAATATACCCAAAGGAGGCTAGTAAAAAACTTCAATGGCTTAGACGGTCATGAAGTGCATGTAAGTCACTGCCTTCGGGGCTTCATCATGATTATCTCGACAGTAAAGTGTGTGTAAATTGCAATTTCTCACACTGCAAGTAATCTAAGACATCACCCAAAATCCCTTTATTTCAATATAATGCACTTTACATAAATTGAAATATACAAGCAGCAATTAACCATGCACTAACTCTCGACAACCTTGAAATTACAAGTTATAGAGATTCCATTTCCAACAATTAGCATGTGATATTAAACTCAAAATCACCTAATTTTAAGGCTTCTAAAGCCCCGGTGAGCAGATGTATACATTTGAACGGTTCTTTAACGATTTAGAAAAGTGCGTTTTACAAAAGGCCTACGTCAAGCAGGACTTAGTGGAATGCCACAAATGTCGTTAAAGAACTAACAACTTTAGTGATGGACACACATGACCTACCGTATCGTACTTGGGATCCTGAGTGCCTTTCATGGCAATTAACATTTCCCAGACATCTTTCACAAACTCAGGCAAGTAGGCCGTAAAGTCGGACGAGTATTTGGTGGCGTAGAGACCGATGTTGTCGCAGACCTGGGACTTCACCTGCTCCACCAGCATGCCCGCGTGAGGGGCCTCAATGGTGGTGTCTGTGCTGGCGGCGGCGGCGTTGTTTATCAGGTCGGTGGTCTGAGGATCGAGATGCAGCAGCTGACGGAAAATCTCCATCCATTGGGCCATGTTGTCTTCGAAGTACGCCGGCAAATCCTACATCAGCAAAAAGTGATTAAAATAAACAGGCCTCGAACGTCCATGCGGACAAAATACAAGGTTGGGTTGAAAACAAAACAGGAATAAATAAGCTGCCATCAGGAGGGAAAAACTAGTTGCAGTCAATAAATTGCTCTATGACACAGAGCATTGTGTCCAAAAAAATTATTTACTAAAAGCGGTTTGAAGCAAAGAATTTGGGCGTGCGAGTATCCGAAGAAACCAAGAAGGCACACTACTAACCTCTTATCAACAGCAAAAAACCAGCTACTATCTTTGACCTAACACATTTTTTGCTACTTCCGCTTTTTCATGTGAGACACAAGACACAAAAATCATTTTCAAATGCAAAAGATGACGTAGAACTTCCAGAAACATGCCTGACAGTTGAGACTGAGGAATATCTTGCAAATGAGTAGCAAGGCACGCATGACAGAAACCAACTGGCTGCCGTCACTTAGACGATTCGGACCCACGACCAAGTTCATTAGGTTCTAAAAAATAAGGATTACCAAATTAAGAACATTTGTTATTGACTTCGGACATCTATGGCTCCTGAGACAGTCCTTAAGCCTTTTGTTTTGACCGTAATAGATTGTATTCGACAAATGTAATCATCATATTCCGTTTTTCGCGACTTGTTCACAAACACCGATTTCCCCATTACATACTATGAGAAGGAGTTAAACGCATTGGTATCTACTACAAGTCACATTAATATTTTTTCCAGTATCACAATTTCTACTCATTTCAACTTAGACATGTGACGCGGGCAATTCTATGCGTCAAGAGAATTGAAACTCATGAATTTTTAACGTCCATTTGTATACGAACCATTCTCGACAAAACATACACTTCTAGCTATTGTAATAGAAACGACTGCATAGCAAATGCCCCTACACGTTATCATAACCGACAATCAAATGACTAACCGAATGAATACAGCTTCTAATGTAAGAAAAATGAGTAAAAATCTATTTGTCTGGAGAATGCGATAGTCTGCACATATACCCGAACGCTGAAAGCAAAGGCAAGAATAGTCAAATTCTGGTATATAACACACGACCATGGTTTAAATGCAGGTTGACGAATTTTAGGAAAGGTCCATACAGACGAATAATCATCCCGAATTTGGGATATAATACCAGGTCCCTAGAACTGACCTACCACCACAACCAAAGAATTTTAGTAGGTTTATTTGTCTAAGAGAATTAGTTGTGTAAACAAATATGGTTGATTTGAGAAGCTGAACTAACCTTGAGTTGATTATTGACAGATAACCTTATTTGGACTATTCCTTTTGCCTCAATGGAAGGGGTTTTCAGAACGATAATGCTTTTAACCAATACCGATAATACCGACTCAAAACAACGATTTGAAGGAGCGAAACAACTACGAACAAAAAAGTTACGGATAAACCATGGCAATTGGGAAATGCTTATCACGAATAGAAGGTAGTAAAAGGACAGAGTGGAGTGGAGCAACTATCTGTTTTGGTTAAGAAAATGCGTAGTCCACAGTCTAACTTCAAAGAACACTAACTTTAGATCTCTTCAGGAAAAACGAAACCTAACTCACCACTGCGAGAGTTGTTAGAGGACCCGCAAACTGATCAATAACAAGGTTCATCTCCGTGAAGAGCTTGTCGGATCGCATCTCATGGCGGTATCTAGAAACGTTTAACTGTGGAGTTAGCCTGTAGCACCATGGCACATTAGGTTCATATTAGCATATGAAATATACACACAAAGTGGTTGGGAAGGACATAGCTTTACTTAGACGCTTTGCGACTCACACTTCGAAAACTAGTTGAATACTTGTGCAAAAATCAAATGAGCGTTTGTTACATTAAAGAGATTTCTTGAAAAAGAAGTAGATAAATACTCAGCATCACTTAATAGTAAAACGTAAAGAAAATCCTGTGATAAAGTAATTAGAAAACCTCGAAGGAATTTAAAAATTCGTGGCCTGTAAATTCTTACTTAAATCACTGGGAAGTAAACTACTTTGTCAAGAGAAAAACGAAGAAATTATTCTGTGCCTTCGAACAACCTAAAATACTACCATTTAAAATGAAAAGAAGAAATTAGTGGCCGTGTATACGCTTTCCTAAAAGAATGTGGGTAAAATTCAGATCTTTTAAGCCAACTGACTTGGGTAACACAGCTTGGGTTACAATGCCATAAAACATGGCAAAGAAAGGTTGGTAGGGAAATGGCCAACCTTTTGAAAATAGAGTGAGCTGTGTACAGGAGACCCTGCACGCTATCCATTTTCGTGCCCAGTTGAGTCATTTGTTGAATAATGTCAGGTAGTAAATTGGGCCACCGTTCAGGAAAGTCCTCCCGACCGATAAGGCCGATGGCTTCAGACAAGATATGCTGACCTGCTCCGGTGCTGGTCAACATCGCATTTATAATCTGGGCTTTAAGTTGTTCGCGGTCAGCAGTGGGGATCAGGTTATCAGATTCTGCTTCCTGCAAGTTACAAAGAATTAAACGTAATAAAAGCAAATGTATGAAAAATATAAACCAATTGCGAACGAATTAATGCCTCACTTCCAGTAGAATATACGACAACACTAATGTTAATTAAACTTACCACTTTCCACGAACGCTTTATGAAGTTTTTCAGAGTCGTAGAGGCCGAAAGACGGATGTTTTTCGGGCGGGAGGGGTCTTGGAGAATAGCAAGCAGGCATACAGAGTAACCCGGCTGGCGTTCCATTGTGTTAAGTATATTCTCCGCGCGTCTACGCTCTTCTAACAAGGGTGAGAGCGTTTTCTCTAGGGTTAGAGCTAGCTCATTACAGTGAGATAGGTCCATTTTGAAAACCACGAGACAGATACGACCTTCGAGAAGAAAGCAACACACTAACCTTCACTTCAATTCCCAGATGACAATTGGTTAGATGGTTTGAAATCATTATCATGGTCTAAAGCTTAAATAAGGGCGCATTATTTATGAAGACGGTGATAAATTGTTCACAAAGTTATTCTGCAATTGCTTTGTCGAGTCATTTTCGATGTTCAAATGACTAGGTATCCTTACGGTAGTGCATGTTACTACAAATGAGAAGAATAAAATCTTATCGAGCACCTCGTGAATTTTCCACTATTAAAAAACTGTTTTTTGTATAATAAGGAAACCTACTGTGTATCATGCAGATCAAAGCCACTTTTAGAATTGGCATTATTTAATGGAATTGAATTTATGTCATGTTTTACATTTTCTGACATAGGAGTCCGCAGAGCAACATAGTCAAACTCAACAAATCTGCCCCAATAAATCACTCGAAACATTTTAGTTAATTAATAGAATTATCTAAAATAAATTCTGTGCTGTTGCAACGTTTTAATTTCAGCTCACAATAGCCGAAATAAATTAACAAATTCCTAAAACAACGCTTAATTCGCCGCCACTATATCATTACCTGAATGTATTCATGAATATTCAACTTTATTTCAGAAATTGTTATATCAGTAAAAGAAATGTGATGGGGTCTGTGTGTCATGTTGATGTGATGATACATGACTTATTTAGGTTATAATAAATTGGAAGATAACTTGCTTATTAAATGTGAATTTACCCAGGTCACGAATAGTCGTTGTCAATGCCACAACAGAGAACTTTGAATCTTGGAGCACAAGGTACTTGTCCTTGTCTATAAGTATACTTAGTTTCAGCTTGGGCTAATTGGTGGTATATCCTACTGAATGGTGCTCAAATACCTATTTATGCTAGTCGGCCTTTTCGAAGTGTTTTTCCTCCCAAAAGTTGCGCTCTAGCATGTTTTTCATTTTGCTAATGAGTTTTCTTAACTACCAACAAAAAAACCATGAAGGCAGATGGGTAAACCGCTTTCCAATTAACCACGACTAGTGTAAAAAAAGTGACAGACTGATTAATAAGATAACTTATTTTAATTACGCACTACACATTAGTGCTTCTTAATGTAAAGTAGAAAAGTATATGCTGTTGAGGTTAATAAACAAAGAGTTATTCACAAATAACCAAAAGTAGCCAAATTAGTAGGAAACCATCCAGTTTTTAAGTTTGGCAATGGTAGTGGTAACAGCATACGATTTGTTGATGTGGAGAAATGAGTTTCCAAATAAATGAAGCGATTTAAATTATACCATAAGTGTGCTAATACCTAGTGACAATGCTCTTATTCATTAATCGAAGTCTTAGGTCATTAATGATCCCTTAGAGTATTCAGATAATGGATATACTTTATTGATCTGAGTCCGAATTTACATCGATTCCTACTAATATCTAGGATCTGAATGTTTTCAAAGTCCTACGAGCTTAATTTAATTACAGTTTCTTGAAAGTAAATCGCAATGCTCTTCCTTATGTTTCTGTTTAAAAAAAAATTAGTCAGCCCTTTTCCAGCCTTATTAACTACTAAAGTCTTTGAACGATTTGAATTTCTTTATTCATGGAAGACTGCGGCAAACAATGGTCGGGAATGACTACAAGTTAGGTTCTGCATTTGCTTAAATACAGTCCATTTTCGTAGAAAATTAAAAGACACGTAACGAAAGAAACTAGTGACACCTTGTAAAAACAGTTTGCTCAAAAATTCCTCTGTGATTTGCAAATTTAAGTGAGTTTGCTAATTCTCCTAATGCATTTTAACTTCAGTGAGTTGCAATACATTGAACTAGATAATAAGGGTACTTGAAGTATGAACAATTTCGTTGATTATAATTATCGAGTTTCAAAGACCCCACTAGATCACTGTCGCATGCCCATCACTCCAGCTTCACTTTAAAACGTACGCCATTATTTATCAACTACAAGTTTATCGTGTCTGTTGTTTGCAAAAACACGAAAAATCTGTTTATGCTCAATTCAACCTTATCTGATTGCGCTGGCCTTGTGTAAATCAATTTTAGAGGTCATACACCACACCTAGTAATCGTAGCGGGTAAAAGTCCGAAAAATGAAATGATGGAAGCAAACAGATCAGTTCCATTTGCCACTTTAAAGTTGTCTGAGGTCCGCGAGGCTTTTAGAATAAACCCTCCACCTAAAGGTACTTATCTCAGAGTGGAATTTTCTAAGTTGCTGCTAATATCAATCACAGTTAACGAAATCTCCGCACTTCCCGCTGTTCGGGTACCCTTATAGAAAGCAAAAGAGTCAATTTGCGAATTCCATCATGCGTCAATGGTTTACTGAGGCAGGCCCTGTCTGATCCCAATATTTAATTGAAGACTCACTAAATCAAATTCAGTAGTATTAGTTTGATTTATACGAAGTGATACGTTGATGAAGCATAAATGGCCAAACTGTTTGTAGATTTGCTAAGTCTCTAGCACTCTCGATGGCCCGTCTAAGATTAATCACCCTTTCCGCACGAAAACAAAAGCTCGTCTTCATAAAACAAAAGAAAATGACACATTTTGTTGCTACCCATTTTCTCTGTTCGCCTTATTTTATCGCGGCCATGCAGTCACATCCGTTCCATTGTCAGTCGAACGGTTTTTCGCTTTAATGCAGACTCAATGGTTTTTGAGAAAGTTTCGTGCCCCAAATAAATCTTATTCAACTCCCTTTATTAAATTAATTTCTTTTAAGAACTAATGGTTTCATTTATTGAGGTAGATAGTAGATAGAGATTGTATGGTATAGAAACTCACGAGTACTTAACCCGATTATGATAAAACAACTCAACTACGAGCCTGCACAGACACCACGCACTGGGTCCCTTCTACACTTCTTTTCATACTACTTCCCCATTTTTTTTCGTGGTAACTTAGTGCCCTCGTCCCCGTCCCTTTCTTTACCGAGTGCAAATCCTTGAATCTAAGATGAGTTTCAAAATGACTGGGCAAAATTTCGACAATGGTAACTCGTAGACACAAGAAGTTACTTGAGATTCACATCTGGAAAACCTTGGTACCGCCTTCCTCTCTAAAACCGATGGACAAGATCACACCATCATCCCAAAAGTCCTATTGGGCTGCCTTTACTGGTGTAGGAATTAACATTTTTGTGCGTTTATGGTCATGAATTTGAAAAACTCCACTGAAACGTACGTTTTGTTATCTTACTGCTGAGCTAGTGGCGAGAACCTGTTGAGACTGCCTTCCTGAAGTAGCATCCCGAATCCCCTTGGCCTCATGCTGCATAAACCCTACTTGTTCAGACACCAATCGACGCGATTCGATTACTCATGTTGTGTCGCCCTGTCCACCACCCTGTTATGACACGTGACAGGGGCTACAGCAGACCTCCCCTCCACTCGCCCTGAATAATTAACTTGTTAGATTGGGGACCTGTTAACATGCTTCTGAAGGGATGGCCATCAAACCAACTTGTTCCCAATCTGGGATGAATGAGACCCCAGGCATGCTGATTTTTCATTGCACAAATTAGTTCCTCACGCCCAAGAAGTGGATTTAAACGATTTGGCTTATTTAAGTGGCCTACCTGGGCTCCATTGGGTGGATCAACTGATGAACGATCCATGAGTGATGTAATTATGGGTTAAGCAGTCCTCCAGGAATATCCGTGAACCTTTTGAGTACTGTCAGGCCACAAGAGCCCAAGGAACAAACAAGGGTAAACTAATCAAGTATTTTGCATTTCACAAAAAAATTCTACAAATTGACCGAACATATGGTAATCGGTGGGCCCTTTAATCTGCATTAGAAACCGATTATGTGAGTCCATAATTTTTGCTTGCTCTATAACTGCAAGTTGGTGGTTCTCTTTACTTGTTAACCTTTCTCAACTGTGTTAAAAGTTTCTGTCCCTTAAATGAACATTTAGTTGTGCCTTCCGTGTTGTCTTTCGGCCACTGTTCAGTCTTTTCCGTTTTGCCTAGAGAAATATTGTGAACTCAATACGCCCTCATGCCTAAATTACTGTTACATAACCTTCCGTCAGTTCCATGATAGCTACTTAATTGATTCATTAACGATAGCATTGGGTAGAATTCGTAAAATGATTGAGCCACTTATCATTCACTTGACTTGCAAAGTAACCTTTGCTTATCAAAAGGAGAATGACGGCAGGGACTTTGTAGCATGTCTAGCTCCTGAATTATGGAGGATTTTCACGCCATCCAATATACGGGATCTTTCCTTGCTGGCATTTTCAGGCACACATGGAAACCTAGACACCTCTGGCCGCTCTGTGCCCGATTCGCTGACTATTTGGTATAACAATTGTGTACTTATTTTAGGCTTGAGGTCCTTTTGAACCTATTATACAATTACGGTTTATAACAATAAAATCGCCAAAGTTTCCCCCTTCATTGGCTAAATGAAGGCTCCTTGATACGAAATTCAGATAAACGTACCAAACGATGGTGTCCAAAAAACAAGTGCCAAGTGGGAAAGTTCTGGTATGGATTGCAACCTCTGGCAATTTGACACGAACAAATCGAGGCCAGAGCAGTTTATATCCGATTACGTAATTAAATCTAACGACACTTCTCAAGGACTCTTGGATATTTCAAATTATATGGATACTGCATAACAACACAACATGAATTTACAAGTGTGTTGTGTCCGCTAGTTGGACGTGGTGATAGGTCATGAATTCTGGTGACAAACGAAACCCCCCATCACAGTCTTTATCAATTATTGCCCGTGTTCTCATTAAAAACGGAGTGAATCGACTTATGCTCTTTTATACACATCAATAAACAAATCTACACACTAATGTGTACACAAAGATGAGTTCACACAGGATTGGCTGAAGCATAGTTGTTTAACTGAGCTGTTGGTGGAGGCGGTAGAGGTGAATTGAACATGGGTGTCGTCGCAAAGTGATGCAACATGGCGAAGTTTATCTTTGAGGAATCATCGTTTGCGGCGTCATTAGCAGACGACAGTGTGGACGGTAAGAAGGTGGACCAGTGAGGGGGCGGAGGGGCAATTAGGGAAAACGGCGGAGGGGGTTGTGGAGGTGCAGCCAAGAAAGGAAAGGAAGGCGGCTCGAGGAACTGCTTGTTGGGGGAGTGAGAAGGCGAGGGTGGACTGCGGCCACCCGCGGTAATGTGCGGAACCACTGCGGTCAAGGCCGGTAGGGGTGGGGGTCGAGGCAGCACTGAACCAGTCGCGATTGCTGTGGCTGCGGCTATGCGGTAGGCTTCTATGGTTTCGTGGTGTTGCTTATAAAATGAGGACAGAACACAACATTAAAGTTTGTCGAGAATCGGGTGTTTTTACGTGACTTGGTACCTTAGACTGTACAATGGTACGTACGGTATTGTTGGGGGCCCAGGATTCACCATGATGGCTCATCGTTGTTTAAACTAATCTCCTAACCACGTGACGTCAGTGGATGAGTCACCCACGGCAACCTACTGACACCCACATCTGTGTTAATCCGCTTGCCGCCATCAGGTCAAGGCCACCCCTGACTTATATAAAGGTTGACTTTCTGAAAGATCACTCGCTCTTTGGCTGAGACGATTAGAGCTCTCTGGTCCTCTCTTGCAATAGCATGGGAAGGTCAGTTCTAAGGTCAGACAAGGGATCTAATACCGTTTGTCTAAGTGAAGTTTCTCTTGGTTACAGGCAAACGTAACAGGTATGTGCCCACATTCTCCTGCCTGGCTTTAAATTGCAAACTTACCCCAAGATGTGTCTTCAGGTTGCCTTTTGTGGAGAACCTCTTGGAGCAGATTTTGCACACAAATGGCCTTTCCTCTACAAGGCAAATGCAAGTGGTCAAATAGGTAATTGACCTGTTCCACCTCATCCCACATCCAAATGAGGCCTGCTGTAGAATGCTGGAAGACTAATCTGTAGTTGGCCGTACAGCTAAATTTTCAAGCCCCATAATCGGGCTTTCTTTTCATGGTGCAAACAAACGGACCCATTGTACGATCACTTCCGGTTGGAGGAATATAAGCTCATTAAAGGTAAGTTCGCTCACCTGTGTGGACACGATAATGCATCGTAAGAGCGCTGCGGCAACTCAGCACCTTATTGCAGACTCCACACTGGTTTGGCGCGAGGCTGCGTTGGAACCTGTCGGCCAGTTGCCGCCACAGCACATTCTGTGAAGGGTCAACTTTCATAAACTTCTCCAGATAGTCTTCGCTGGGGCGACTTCTCAAGTGCCCCCCAGACGGTGAGGCTGGTGAAAACGGGCCCGGCGACGGCCTCTGTGGGGGCTCCTGGGGGTAGCACCGCGGGAGCACGTGGCTAACAAGAGGAAACAGCCAATCGGCAGTCGGTGTCACCTGGCTTGTACTGGAGGTAGAAGACGTCTTCAGTGAGAGGTCGAGGGCCTCAGCCGGGGGTGGGGGGAGGGAGTCACGACGACGCGACAGCCCCTCCGCGATGTCTGGGCTACGCGACTTGAGACGCAGCAGCGCCGGGGAGCTCGGGTTTGCTCTTCTTGCAAGTTCTGGAGTTGGAACTAAATGGTGGAAGTCAACAAGCGGTCCTTAGCGTTTTTGCACAAGTCAAGGTAACCATTTTCTGGAGTCACATCCATTAATTTCACAATACATCATTCGAAATGCAAAAAATTCAAGCCAATCCCACAAATTTACAATAATTCTGCTGATTTGTTTGATGGATTTCGTCATTTTGATAACCAGTTACAAAATTTCTCTAGTGGAAGAAGAGCTAATAATGGGAGAATGGATTATCGGCTTGAGACCCTTGTTATAAACTAATGTCAATATACTCTGTGGTTTAGGGAAGTGAAGCAGAATTCGTTTATTTGGAAATATTCTCCATATTTTTTCTAAATAAATCCACTAGGTCCCACTTCAGCTGTAATGCCTGTATCCCATGGCACTTCCATGAAAAGTCAGCGTGCACATTAGACATTGATCGACACAATTAGAATAAAAGCGGCAGTGGTTTTATGAAAGATTTGCTGGAGGATCTTCCAAAAACAACGCGTCTACGGCACCAGCACACCATGCACCACACCGAGCATAAAATTCTCCTGCTAAAATTTAACGTGTGTGTTTCAAACAGACAAATACCCCGTTCATTGGCCGTGGCCTTTCGACTTTCTTAAATAATAACCTTGCCTCGATCTTGATAAAAAAAACCACTACGGTAGGTGGACGCTTATGGATCTCACAAATAACTAACGGGGTCTAACATCGACCTCGTTGTCGCATTAGTAATTTGGATACTGTAAGAAGTAACACTATTAATTGTTAACGCCTTTATTGGAAGCTTTTTAAATATATGTTTAATAAAAACATAAGTAAAAAAATGAGCACTTATTTTGGCTGATTCACACTGCGTTACCAACTCTCATAATTGCCATAGAAACGGTGATACCTTTTACCGGTACCTCTCTAGCCATGTGCACTACCTTGACAGTCGGATATGCAAGCCTTTATTTGCATACGAACAGAAAATGTTCACAAGTGTTACGGCTTTTTAATCAAAGTTTATGCATAAATTTAACATTGTGGCCTACCACCTGTGAGCGTTGCCCTGGTGAGTCACCTCGAAATTTACATCGCCCGAAATAAATTTTACTCGTATTCCATGTTGAACGAGGTGGGTGAGTGGGGTGGTGGTGGTGGCGATGATGATGGTTTCGTGTTAAAATTAAAATTCATCCGCCCCCACCCCACCTGTTTTCCCCCCTTCACTTATAAACTTTGTTTCCTAATTAAATATTCTAATTGAGGAGGGTACAAGAATACCTCTATGGGTTAAAAGCCTTCGTTGCATGTGATGTGTACGTGGATTGCAAGAATGCACCCAAAGCCATACGCAGGAAGCCAGTTCCACGTTGAGGCTAATAAGCTTAAATGAGGAAAATTACTTGACAGACGGTAGATGAACCTAAAACAATCATTGTGGCAGAGTTTGGTATTCCCATAGATCACTCCATCGTGAAAGCTTCGCTCCCCGCTAGTCTTATCACCTACATGGTTTGGCAACACGATCATCGCCCTGAGCGCGTGAAGTTGTCTCTGGGTTGCATGAGGTGAAGGAGTTGGTTCTGAGGCGCGAAGGGGTAGCGACCTGGCACATTCAGCGCGTGGCTGTCGTTAAGGCACGCATCTTCCCTGCCAGATCTGTGAAGGGCCCCATTTCCCCTTTTTTTAAATTTTCAGAGGCATAGGTATCAGCGTTGGTGGAGCGTGATGTCACAAACCCCAAAACCAGCATGACCCGACTCTCCACAAACCAAATCTGTCGAGGTTAATCACAGTGGACGAGTGTGGAATTACTTGAATTTTACTTCTGTGGCTAATTCCAAGCAGACGCCAATATGCAAATGGTACAGAACTCTGATTATTATTCAAAAGAACGATGAAAACCCAATGCTTGAACACGGGTGTGTGCCTGCATGCGCGTGTGAAAATTACCACCATGACAACCAGCGACCACAGATGCCTCCGGTGGCAACCGATTCCTTCTATGGCAGAAGCAGCCCGTCCAGTGACAGGGAAAAATTGTTTTTTTGGAAAAATCATTAAAAACATCGCACTATGGTTGATGAGGTTGGTAAAATTAGGCCTGATTTCCGCTCACTCCACAGAATCGCTCGCCAATGCTCAAAGACACCCAGGGACGCGGTTTGGTTAGGTCAGTGTATTTAAAAAGGTAGGCAATCTTGCCAATTAAAACTGAACGATATTTGTGCTCTACTGCCTGTCATGCAGTCATGGTTTATAAAAGGCGACATCTATCTTGTGTAACAGCGAGGCAGAGTTTATGAATACAAGTGGCAGCATTTAAATAGCGCAATAAATGAAAAAAAAACTATATTTGGGGTCCCGCTTTAATGCCGATGCCTGCAGATGAAATAATTACAGAGTTTGGTCGTACAATTAAATGCACGGTATTTTTACCGACACGTAATTTCATGATTACTTGAACTGGAGAGTGTGTTGGGTTTATGGTGAGTTGACGCTCTGAGCCCTGATCATGCAAGCTAAGACCATCTATATGGCTTTCTAGGGCATTCCTGATGTTATGATAACGTTCACTGTTTCCACAAAATTCGTCAACCCTTGAAGAAAGAAAGGTCCCTTAAAACCATGCAATTTTCACTTTTGACAAGACAACATAAAATCCTTGACATTGTTCAAACTCGAATGTTGCTGTTTTCTGATTTTTACGTTCTTAAGATGCACATAAAACTTGTGTTTAATTATCCATTCCTTGCAATATAGTGTAAATGAATAAAAATAAGCGGCTACTCACGTCTGGTCTCCGTTTTCGACTCATACCGATTGGAAGACTTAGTGATGAAGGGACGCCGAATTGAACTTTTGAAGGCCTTCAAGAGGGCTAAGCGGTTAATTCGATCACGTTTCACGGCTTGATCGAGAACAGCGCTGCTCCATGTAAGACTCCTACAGACACCCGAAAGACTGCTATCGTGGGAGACAAACCAGTGAAGAATCTGGGAAATAGACTGTCGACAACGCCTTTCCCACTGGGTCCACTTTTCGAGACGCTTGAGTAGACGACAAAGCCGCACGACTCTCTTTCGTGGCAACATGATGCTGCTTCGGATACTCACGTGTTGCGCAGCAATTAATACGTCCGTAGCTGTTCACGCGTGCCTCTGTGTCAACTTTGATTGGTCTGCGTTCGCGCGCAAGACCTGCGCGTGTGATTTACGCGCGTTTCTATTGGTGCCAGCTCTTTTTAGCCGCGTGCGCGTGTCTGTACGCACGTGTGCTCCCGTCTCAGACATAGGAATCAATGCTGAAGGTGTGAAACGACCAATAGATGCGTGATGACATATATTTATCGGCACAATAAGCTTTGATAATAAACAAAGACGGATAAACAAAAAAATTTGCGCAATAAACATGAATGAAATAGGGTATTATTGTGATTAATTAAACTGGTCGACGGGGACGTCCCGGGGAACACCATTTAATTTGAAAGAAAATGGATTTTCATTCCAACTGTGCCTAAAATCAGACACCTTACTGATTTTATTGGAAGTAAGACCATATTTGCTCTCCTGTGCTTAAAATCCTGGTGAGGAAATCCCTCAATGGCTTCTTTCACCTGCATTACCAATGCGGACAAAACTAAGACAGTTTTGGCCTTAGTCTCAAGCACTTGACCATCAGTGGACATTCAACGAAGTTTAACCTGCAACTGTCCACATCCAAACGCACACTGCAAAATTAGAACAAGTGCCCCCTCAAGACATGGGTTAAAACTTGATCGCTGATGTTATCGTTTTTAAACATAGCTGGCGAATGTAGCTTAAACGATGTCTTTATTTTGTGTATAATAAATAGCTTCGACACAAAGGAAACGGTGGATACAAAACCGTGCAACTCAACGGGAATTCGCGAAAAATGCACAATTGATGCAAGTATTGTCGTTGCATGAATTTTACCAGGGAGATTACATGGGCAGCGTTAGCAACTTGGATATTAATCCCTTTTGCAAATTTACCTGTACGGACTTAGTTTTCGAGTTATCAAAGACATCTTTCAAAATTCATTTTCCCCTCAGTTCAGCATTGCTCCAAGCATCACAATTTCACGATGCTCTGAAACTTAATGAATAATGGAAACCTTAAAAGCTTGATATCGCCCTCGCCTCTCAGCCAATCAGAAAAAAAGCGGTTATTGACATATTTGCTCCTTGTAATTAGACATGGATTATGACATGTTTCTCAATAAATACTGACCCCATCCGCTTTATTTTTTTTACAGACTTATTGGTCTCTTCCACTTGGTCTTCAAACTAGCATCGCAGACTGACTTCATTAGGCACCATGCATCAAACTGAGCTGTCTGTTAAATCCCATTTGTCACAGTTTTTTTACTTATCCCCTGCAGCCCTCTTCTAAGCAACCAGTCATTTTCAGCTTCAAAATTTTAAATTTGGGAGCAAATGTTGATTGAGTGAATTTCATTGTGGGATGGGTAGTCCACTTGCCACACATGGAGTCGGGGTTGTGGTTGGCCGAACCCAATTTGTGGTCCGGAAAATCTATTTTACGTAGTTGCCTTTCATGGAATTCACTTTCAGATGGGTGCGTATTTTTTGACTCTTTAGAGACATTGCATGAAGTGGGGAAAGTACATGCCAGGAATGAACTTTAACAAACACCAGCCCAAACTCGGCCCCTCAACTCTATTACGCCGTGTGTATTTCTCAGTTATGTACCTGATGTGCTATTAATCTTGGAACGAATGGGTTAGCCAACTCATGGGGTGAGGCTAGCCCATCAAAATCGGTCCAGTGGGGAGCACGCTAGTGCCCCCTAATCCACGTGACGGTAAATGGACTCGTTCACAAGTGGGCACTTATCACTTAACGACCTGGTCAAACACCTTGCCTACTGCGTCAGCGAAGATATTCAGTCTCATCTTTACGCGAGTTTGCATGGAAACCATCGTAATTACAGAAGTATTGAACAAGGGGGATCTGGAAAATTGGTAAATGGCTTCACCTCAAGCTCCCACTTGTGATTTCCCAGCAGGACGCATATAATGGTATAAATGGGGCTTTTACTCAGGCTCAATGAATTGAAGTCCGTCTACACATTGAGTCGATGGGTACCCTGCTGCCAGCACTCAACACCACGTGAAATTCTGACGCGGTCCCTATTTCGAAAAAGACGATCATGAGCTATATCAAGGGAGTTAAAATAGAGTAGAATTACTGTCTCCCTGAACCTAACCCCTGAGTAAGACTAGATTGGGTACCAAGTTATCCCTGCTCGAATACACGTGAATGCTTGATGAAAAAGTGTACAACACACACAAGTATAGTTTCAGAGCAGTAATGTGTTTATACTCATGGGATCTGTGTTCATAGCTCGATATCCTCACAAAATAGACGGTAAAACTTGCACATGCTGAAATGCAATCTCGCTACCCCAGAGCGAAGACAGGCGTTGCTAAGCTACTTCACCACATCGTTTAACAAAGTTGACAATTTAAATTAGTATGGAATTAAGCATCAACATTCTCGGATGTTGGTATCGGAGTAACGAGGCGAGGATTGTGCGAAAACGCGGCGTCGCTTCTTCACCCCGTTGTTAAGACCGGCCCCACCCCTCGAATTAGCATCGCGTGGCAATAAAGGAAGTTCATGGACAAAAACGAGCAGGTTTATGTAAATTATTGTACGTCAAACTGACATTTACATAAGGCGGCAACCATAAATGATGGCAATTTGAAGTTGAATTGAAAAAAATCTTGTCGATTAAAATTTTGCACGCATTAATTATCGGGCAAATGGTCGGTACAGCTAAGCGCATGCACACTAGAATTCACTTTGAATTCTAATCAACGCCACACGCAAACCAGACACTGAATACCGAGAAAAGCATAGGAAATTCGATGTCTGAGGGGAACGAATAAAGTGAATCAAATTACGCCAGAATCATTTCCCATAAGCACTTCTATGAGGGCCGTGTACAAGTTACTGCGATCAAATCATCAAGAACTCCAGCAGCAAACTGCCACCATGAATTCTCAATTTAAGGGAAATTGCACGAAACCTGAATAGATGGGCATCGATGGGCCTTCACGGTCCCCATTGCAGGTGTTTAAAAAAGGTTGAACATGACCTCGAGGATGTAAATGTTCCCATACCCAGGGCCCCTCTCCATCCCCCACCTCCCCACCCCCCACCCTGAGACGAATGTCGCGATTTCAACACGTGTTTGCTTTGTCACATGTCGGAATATTCCCCGACCTTGTTGATGCGCCACCAGATATTGTGGATGTTATCAGACCTCCTGTCTGGGCAGGGTTCAGATCCTGACTGAAAATGCTCAAATCAAAGTCTGTGACTGAATGTTCCATGCAGAATAACCTTCTATACTTGAGCAAGTTACCCACTTGTGGATATGGGTTCTCGAAGGCTATTTCGCGCATTTGTAGAACTCGTTTTGATTAATGGTTGGCAGATTGGACACTGAACGATTTTAGACAATCCTTTACAAGACTGCTTGATAATGCCTGTCATCTGCCACGTTGAAATTCATCATTCATGTTCAACTGCTTAAAATCATCATTGCGTGAACGGTAGGAAGAAAGCAGTTCAAGTGGCAGTGATGTGCGTCTGGAAATTAGGCGATATCATGGTGGTTGAGAGCTTTTGAGAAGTCATTCCAGTGAAGCAAAATCCTTCATAGTTTTCGAGAGGTAACTTTGGTTGCTTTGGCAAAAAAAACTGACTTGAAGATGGTTAGTCATTGGAGCGTAATAACCGATGTGATTAATATCAGTGATGTAAGCTGCTCTGTTTTACGGAATGTCATAATAATCTTCTTGCCTCGTGGAGAAGTCCATCTAGGCCACAACTTTCACCGTAACACCCATTACGTCACTAGAAGTAGGAAAATAATATGACTACTAGAAAATGTGTTGCAAAATATAGTTAGAAATCACAAATTCGACTCGTTACACCAGCAAACAAGCCTTTGATATTTCTGTTCTGGAGATTCTAACTCCGCATCCCCAAATCCCTCTCATCGACGGAGGTAACTCTAAGGTGAAAACGTACTAGGGTGGGGCTTCGAATTCTTAAACACTTTTCCATAGACGGAGTTGGCTCACATGTTTACACGGACAATTTTTTTGTGGCACACAGTTTTTTTAATTAGATTTTCTCACTAAACCACCCAAGGCGCTGGTCGGTTATCTACAAGGAGATTTATTCCAGAAGGACCAATTTATCGATGCAAATATGTTTATCTACAGGCATATACAAGTCTTTCGAATCGTCATTAAAATTTTATTAGATTTTCTGAAGCCTAAAGTTTCAAATTTGCTGAATTCTAAAATAGCCGTAAAATTATTGTTTGTAGGTTAATTTACAGTAATAACTCCTTGTGTTCGAAATCGTGTGCAAGTAAAGGTTCGTCGATGTAAACAATAAAAACCTGGGCTGAGAGCAGGTCGCTTTGTGAGACGAAGTGTCGAAACATTGACACTGAACGTATGGTCAATGACGGTGTCTACATAGGGGAGTCGAATGACCCAGACAAAAAACAGTAAAACTGCTCAAAATTGACATTCCGGAAAACAGCACTTAATTTTTGTCAATAAGTGTCTACTGGACAGAGAATTTTGCAGCTGAATTTGGTGAACCGTTGCTGTAGCAATGAAGTAAATTGGAGAAAGTAAAATTGTGAAGTGCATACTTCAAAGCCTTGGTTATTGTGAAGGCACACGAAAACCGCCCTCTGGTAACGCGATAGTGGTCAAAAAAACGGAAAACAGGATAAAAATTACAAAAAAGGAATTTTTTTGAATTTCGTATTCAGAAACCAGTATTAACTATCTGTAAGTAATAAAATAAGATAAAGCATTGTAAAAAAATGTTGCGAAATTCCCGATTCACTTTTTACGTGTACATTTTGGGTGTCACAATTGCAAGATGTCTCAAAATAATTTTTTAGCAAGCACAAGTAATGGTTAATTAAATATTTTTTTATTAACTGGGTTCCTACTGGAATGATAAATTGAGGTCCTGTGGCCTTCCTCATACACTGATTTCGGCAACAGTAAG